ATTCTTCTGGCTGGTGCCCGACAGGGCAGGTGATGGAGGGTCAGAGGATCCCACACACTGCCTTAGACTCTGCACCAGCCATGTGCCAGGCAAGCTGTTTTTATCTCTGGTCTCCACCATCATCCTAAAAGGTAAATTGTATTCTCTTCTATTCTCCAGAAGCAGCACGGGTGCTGAGGCGAGACACGGAACGGTTAGCTCGTTACTTGGGACCCAAACAACATGTTTTGAAGATTCAGGATTGAGTTTCACAATGATAGGCGACTGTGTAATGAACACCTCTGGGTATATGTAAGTCTCTGTGCACAACTCTGGTAACAACTACTGGGACAGGAGCTCCTAGAAGTGGAATTAGTGGTCAAAGGGGATATATGAGCCTCTCACACAGAGAGGCAGGAAGGTAAGTACTTGGTTTTCCAGACTCCCCTGCAGTTAGAGAGGCCACGAGACCTAGTCCTCGGCTGCACCCTTTTCTGTCTGAAGTCGCATGAGAGGTTTGCGTTCCCTCGACAGAGCTGCATAGAGCCTCACATACAATGTACACATAATAAACACGTGTTCTCATGCCTTCTGTCCCTGGAACTGTTGTGTTTCTGTGATGGTGAAGATGACGGTTCTGCACATACATCACACAACTTCATTTTTTCTGAGGATATTTCTGCATTCATCTTCAGATAGAGCGGGAGGGAGAGAGGGAGGAAGAGAGGAGAAACATCGATGTGAGGGAGACACATCAAGTGGCTGCCACCCACATGACCCCAACCGGGGCCGGGGACAAATTGCAACCGAGGTCTGTGCCCTTAGCAGGAACCAAACCTAGGACTCTAACCGCTGAGCCAAGCCAGCCAGGCACGTCACACAGCTGCAGATGGCCCTTCATGGGAACACTTCTCAGACCACTTGCTCCAGCACTTGGCGGGTGCTCCCAGCTACCAGTTCGTTCGTTCGTTCATTCAGTGACTGTTTACAAGGGTCTCCTCTGTGCCAGGAATGACAAATACTCCATAGCACTTCCACTGAAACTGACAATGTTGAGTTTTCCTGAGCCCGCGCTTCTGGAAAACAGCAAGGATTTAGACATCTGCCCTTGTATGTTCTGGAAAATATCTATGGCAAAGCACCAACCTTCCCCATGGCACTTAGACACACCTCACAGGTGTCCCCTTGTTTACCTGTGACAAGGCCACACACAGACCCTCCAAAGTCCCACTCTGCTCAGAAAAGATTACCGAACTGTTCGTCCCCCTGGACACGTTGGCTAATCCCACCCTAGTCCAGTCTGACCTCATCTTGACCTAATTAGTTGGAACAAACCTATTTCCCAAGAAGATCACACTCTGAGTTCCTGGGGTTAGGGCTCTGACATGAATTTCGGTGGGGCATGGCCACCTGCGCAGTATGTCCTCACGTGGCCGTTCCTGGGACATCTGCGTGAGCACTGGAGGCTGGGATACTGTCAGCACTCAACGGGATGAAAAATAAACGGACAAGTGGCTTCCCCTGTGAGGACACATGCCTCCAACCTGGGGAAAGAGAAGCTGCCTGGTCAAGAGGCTCCCTGGGAGCTGGCGGCGGGTCAGGGGGGTGAATGAGCTCTGCGAGCCAGGGTGCTTGGGAAATGCTGCTGGGCAGGCAGCCTGCTGTGCTCCCTGGGCCGGGCTCTGCCGCCACCTGGTGGCTGGAAGGAAACCGGACACAACGCAGCCAGAGCGCCTGCGTTCTGGTCAAGCCAAGGAAGGGGGCCTTTTGGTGGAGCCATCCACCAGGAACCGCGCTGGGCCGGCCACGGAACTCCCTCCACTTGAAGGGACTGATGGGAACAGGAGGCAGGGGCTCAGAGCGTCGATGTCGACACACCTTTTTTGACAAGGGAAGATGTTTATGACAATTTGCTGTGTGAAAATGCAAAGTGGGTGTGGGGTGACTGATGGAAAGGCGTTCAGCTGGTGCGGCTGGTCCGGGCTGACTGCGGAGGGACCGTGGGGAAGGGAACGAGCCTTGGCCCAGGGCCGCCCTGGGCGCAGGGTCCAATGAGCCAGGGTGAGGTGGGGAACGAGCCAGGGAGGGCAGGCCCGGCATGCTCACCTCCCAGCCTTCGCCCCGCGTCCAAGGTTTCCTTGATTTAGGTTCAGGCTTTGGGGCCCAGGGACAGGTTTGAGAAAGGGAAGGGGCAGGAAGGATGATGAGAAGAGCTTTGGTTTACATTTTCTCTAAGGTTTGATTCTGCAAGAACGAACCCTTGTCTGTGCCCAGCAGAGTATTCCAGGAGCGCCCCGCAGCCCAGGCAGGCTGCTGTCTTTGAGCGCTGGGCACACCCAGCACCTGGCATACAGCGTATCCCACACCGGTGGACTGATGGGAGTGGGTAACCCTGAAAACAGTCTGCGCAGCTGGAGGAAGGGGGCTGCCATCTAACGAGGGGCAGGAGTAGGGCAGGAGCTGAGATGTTCGAGTCACGCCTCCGGCACTTCCAGGTGAAGACGAGCAGGAGGTCGGGTGTAGGATTCTAGAGCTCTGGGGAGAGGCCCGGGGTGGACACGCACTTGGGAGCCATAAGCAAATAGCACTTAAGGACACTAGACATGAGGAGGTGGCCTTGGGAGACAGCAAGGCCCAGGAAGGGTCCTGGGCCTATGACCTGGCACACCGCAACTTTCAGTGGCTGAGTTCCAGGAAGGCCAGGGCGGGCTGAGGCTGAGCACGGGGAGTGAGGGAATCCAGGCGGAGCTGTCCTCCGGGAAGTTCTGGTTCTTGTGGCACAAAGGAGGAAGGGACCCACTTACAGCTGCACTGCCAGTCCTGCCCAAGGTCAGCTAAGGTGGGGACTGAGCACGGACCGCTGGGTGGCAATGAGGACTGGGACACGGCGTGTTCCAATGGAGCAGTGGGGACAGTCGTCTGGCTGAACAGCGTTCCAGAGAGAAAAGAAAACAAAGGATCAATCCAGGAGGTCCAGTATTTCGCCACTATACCACCAACGCCCGCCAGGAGGTCCAGTATTTCGACACAAGGCATTCCAACAACATTCCTTTGACAGTCACGTACTGAGCATCTACAAGAGTGCCAGACACTTCTCGGCTGGAACAGCGGGGAGCAAGAGACGGACACCCCAGGGCTTACATCCTGGTGGGGAGACAAATGAAATCTACAGCCGGTTAGACAGTGGTGAGTCTCAATGAGAAGAGCAGAGCTGGGCGGGTGGGGGGGACAGAGTGGTTGGGTGGGGGGAGGCTTTAGATTCAGCTGACGTCGTCGGCAGGTGTGGGGAGCTTGAAGGAGGCTCCCTCCTAGTTGCTTCTCAGAGGAATGGGAAGCAGAATCGTGGGGAGGCTGGAGCGAGGGGGTGCAGAGGCTGAGAAGAAGTGTGTGACCTGGTCGTCTAGGTCAACAAGGAAGGAAGCGAAGTGGCACGAGGCCATCAGAAGCGAGTTTCCGTGGAAACCAGGGAAGGGCTGTTTTGCACCAGCTGGCTCAGCGCCCATGTGCAGCAGGATCAGAAGGCAGGGCTGGGGGTTACAGGTACGCTGAGCACAGGCTGGAGGGGAGCACGGCATGATGGGCCGTGAGGTTAGGCTGGGCGGGAGGTGGACAGGGAACTAAGGGGATGAGGCAGTGAAAGGCTTGTGGACGAAGGGCTGGCGGGACCGGGACACTGGAGGAGCTGCGAACAGCAATGGGAGGTGGCAGGAGGCCGAGGGCGCGGGAGGGAGACCACCACTCCTGTGCAGTCTCCCCGCACCCAGCTCACACCCGGAGGCGAGGTTCCGGCCCTACTAGCTGCACCCAGCTCCCACCCGGAGGTGAGGCTCTCGCCCTACTAGCTGCGTGCTTCGGTGCAGGTCCCGAGACCCACATGACCCGGGCTCTTCCGCCCGGCAGCACGGGCCTTGCAGGGCTGAGCGCAGTTAATGGTTGGGAAAATGTGGGCTTGAACCTGAATCTAACTTCAAAGGTGATACTCTGACCTGCAACCTGCTGTTTTCCCATGAAACCCCCACCTCCCCACCTCTCTCATTGGCTGTAGCATAACTCTGAGGTGGAGCCAACCATGGCAGATCCGGGGTGCCTTCCGCTGTCCCGGTCCTCTGTGGTTGTACAGGCGTGTGTGCCGGCCACACGGTGACTGAAAGTGCACTGCCGGTCCCGACGCTGGAGCGACAGTGGGGACACATGACATTCTCTCACAGGGCGCCGGAGAGCCCGTGGGGAAGGCAAGGAGCAAGGGCTCGGGTCCGGAGCCAGTGAGCAACTGCCCTGGGCAGGTGGTGTGGGGGTGAGGGGTCACCGGAGCCTTGCAGGGACATGCGGGTGTTTACCAGAGACGAGAACAGAGCGGGGAGCGGCTCGCACACAGTGGCAGCCGGTCAGGCTCCGTCCTGATGGTCTCTGAAGCCCACCGTCCCCGGACGGCTGGACTGGACCAGGCGCCTGTCTTTTTTTTTTTAATCCTCACAAGGATTTTTTTTTTCCCCATTTATCTTCAGATAGACTGGGAGGGAGGGAGGGAGAGAGAAAAAGAAACATCGATGTGAGAGGGACACATCATCAATTGGTTGCCTCCCGCACAACCCTGACCAGGGCCGGGGACCAAACTGCAACCGAGGTTAGTGCCCTTGACTGGAATCAAACCCGAGACTCACTGGTCCTCAGGCCGACGCTCTAACCGCGGTGCCAAATCGGCCAGGGCCCGGTACCTATCCTTGAAGGGTGAGGCCTTCATTTTGTTATTACTATTATGGCCTTTATATTAATAAAAATGCTGGAGGAAATATATTATCTAGAAAGTCATTTATTCAAATTAAATTATAGTATGCATTTCATATACAAATAAAATCTGTGTAAATAAAATTACAAAATACTACAGATTTCAATCATGTAAAAATGCAAAAATATTTTATGTGTGTATATATATGTATATGTATATGTATTTTTTTCCCTTTAGCATGACCACGAAGTACAGCAGTGAACGGTTTCTCCAGCCCCTGGCTCTGGGGACACCAGCGCCCACTCTGGCGCCGGCCCCCCGGTGAGCCCGCAGGCAGGCCTCTCCTCCCAGAGCTCAGAGGCCTCCAGCTGCCGGGTGCCAGGCGCTGACGTCCCAGGGCGCTAGGCTGGCGAGATGGCACCGGGGAACGGCGGGCTGCTGGGCGCAGAGGCAGCCTTGCTCTGAGGGGCGCTGGGGTCCCATCACTGGTCCAGCTCGTTCTCGTTCTGCAGCGTCTTCATCGCCAGCCCCCACAGAGTCATGCTGGAGAAAAACTGACCTTCGGAGTTCCTGTAGGCTGTGGCTGCCACCCGGCTGCCCAGGGGGTCACCACAGTGATTGTCCAAAGTGGCCAGAGACGAGCGGACGGTGGCCAGGCCATCCGCCGGCAGCGGGCCGTTGCTGGGGGAGGCGTCGTCGGCCGCGTAGGCGAAGGCCTGGTGCTGCGCGTGCTGCCCAGGGGCCTTGGGGAGTTTGCCGGGATCCACGCTGAGCTTCTCCTGCTCGCTGACTCCATGAGGCTGAGCCGTGGACGGGAACTTACAGTAGGTGCCGGCCGAGTGGTCGTCAAATTCTGTCACTGACGCTTCCACCGAGTGGACGGGGAGCTTAACGGCCACGGGCATCAGAGTCACGGACACATCTTGGGAAAACGAGTCCGAGCCCGGAGCCTGGTCCAGGTCGGCGGTCCCCATGGCCTGGGCGAGGCCCCGCAGCGCGTCCTGGCCCTCGTCCGCCGCCCGGCAGTGCATCCGCCGGTGCCGCCGCAGCACGGCCGAGCGGGTGAAGCACTTGTCGCAGATCTCACACGTGTACGGCTTCTCCCCCGTGTGAGTGCGCACGTGCCTGCGGAGGTCACCGGATCCCCCGAAACATTTCCCTGGGCAAAGAAAGAGGGATCTTCTCAGATGTGGGCACTGGGAGGGCCCCGCCGGGTCCGAGCACAGACCCTCGTTTCAACGTGAGCGGACGGAGCCGGCCCCACCCGAGGAGGACGTCTCCGCCTCCTCCCAGCGCAGTCCCCCCTGCCCGCACCCTCTTGTCGGGCAGCTCCGCGTGAGCCCCCGAGACCCCTGCCTGCGCAGCCCGCCCTGCTGGGTGAGCCAGGCTGCCGCCCTGCAGCTCTGGGACCTTGTCAGTTCCGTTACACCTCCGTGAACCTGGCTCGGCCGTCTACAAGGTAGAAGCGCCTTTCCGAAAGGCCTTGCGTTCAGCTTTCAACACAATTTTACATCTCTCTCCTGGTGGTTTCCTTCCTTTGTGTGTAGGATCGAGGTAGGGGATCTGTTTCCACTATTAGTCGGCAAGGAGATCAGAAGAGAAAAATCAACCGACCTCACAGAAGTCCTAGCTCTTACAAAGGAGGGAGACCTACAGTTACGTCCACACGGCTTAACGCCCCCAGCTGACCTCTCGGCAATCCAGCCCGGATCAAGCACCTGTGAGCGATCTAAAACACAGCCTTTGAACAAAATGAATGTCAATGCCCATGTGTGAAATATTGAGCTTTTTTTTTTCTGTTCACCTAAAAATAAAAGGCTTTACAAAGAGAGAGGCAGGAAGCATTTACTTGAAGTCAGTAAAAACTCAGGAAAGCGCTGATTCAGGCAGAAGCCCCAACAGTGTTCCCCTCAGGACACAGTGAGGACGAGGTTTAGAGAAAGGGAAGGGACAATGACATCCACAGAAGAAAGACTTCCCTCGGTGCCGATAAGCTAACCCAGTGACATGAATTCTAAACCATGTTAACTTTCAGTCCAGTGGTCATCAGATTAGTTAGTGGTCATAACAACTGCTTTCCTGTCGTCTCTGCAAACAGGTCTTCGGAGCACAAGGCTGCGTCAGGCCCAGTGCAAGGGTTATTTGCTGCTTCAACACCCACAGATTTGAGGCATCACAGGTGCAAGGCAGTTCCCCCGGGAGGGCAGCTCCGCTCTGTTGTAAAGGGCCCCACTGATGTGACTGTTTACATTTCTGTATACAAAACACTGACAGGGACCACAGTGATCCCCTTTCTGTGGTTATACTTCCACATGGCCCCACAATGTCAAGCTCAGTTACCTTCACTTAAAACCACAGTAAAAACATTTTTTCTTTTTTTTCTATAGAGGGGAGGGAGAGAGGAAGAGAGAGAGAGAAACATTGATGTGACTGGCTGCCACTTGCACGACCCCAACTGGGGCCGAGGACGAACCTCAACCAAGGTACATGCCCTTAGCGGAAACTGAACCCAGGACTCTCTAGTCCGCGAGCCAACGCTCTAACCACTGAGCAACTGGCCAGAGCCACAGTAAAAACATCTTTATGCCCTGCCAGTATAGCTCAGTAGTAAGAGCATCACCCGCGGACCAAAGAGTCCCAGGTTCGATTCCGGCCAAGGGCACGTACCTCAGTTGAGGTTTGTCCCTGGTCCCGGTTGGAGTCGTGCAGGTGGCAACCAGTCGATGTGTCTCCCTCCCTCCAGCTCTATCTGAAGATTTATGTAAAAGAATATCCTCGGGTGAGGATTAAAAAAAACCTTTTTTCCCCACTTTGCTGCACTGTCTTCGTAAGATACATTTTATCAGACACGTGACAGGTCATGGGTTAGAAGAAGCCTAACTGCTCCTCTGCTGGTGACATTTGGGCTGCTTCCGCCTCTTGCTGCTATACCTGAGATTCAATTAATATCTTTCTTTTCATTGTTTCCTTAAGATAAATTCTCAATAGTGAAATTACTGAGCAGAAGAGGATACCATTTTTAGGGTTCTTAATGTGTGTACATTTTAGTCATGGTGGGGTTCCCACAGCAGAGGAAAAGGGGAGTTATTCTCCTTTACCCCTCGAGTCGACAGGGGAGCCAGGCCCGACCCGTGTCCCCGCCGTGAGGAGGGCACAGTGGAGCAGCGTCTGTGGGGGCCAGCGGGCCAGCTGTACTGTGGCAGGACAGTCGCCTCTGCACTGTGCGGGCCTGCAGTCCCCTGGAGCACAGAGCAAGAGTGTTTCTACCTCAAAAGGGACAGGAGAGCCGACCTGGAGCGCTTCTAAATCCAGGGTAAGAGGGCTGCCCAGAGGGCCGGAGCCCACCAGGGAGAGTTTCGAGGTAGAGGCTGTACCACCAAGGGCTGGAGAAGAACCCACACCAGCGCCTAGAAGTGCAGTGGAATGCGGGGGAGGAGGAGGAGGGCGCAGGCTGTCTGTACAAGAGGCACATGACGCCAGGGACCGAGCGGGAGGGAAGGAGAGAAGCTTCAAACACTGCAGAGCCAGGAATGAGAAGCCATCTTAAACCGCACCTGTCCTGTGCAGCGAAGACAGTGGCGGCGCACCACGCGTGAGCCTGCGCAGGACGGCCCAGGTGGAGCTGCGGAGGGAGGGGCCAGCTGCAGAGCCCAGGCGGCGTGACCCCACTCAGCAGACTGTCCGCAAAAGGCAGAGCCACGCACAGGGACAGGCTGAGGCCGTGCGAGGCTGGGTGGGCGTGGGGAATGGCTGAGTGGGCGTGGACTACGAAGTGTTCTCCAGCGTGACTGGTGAGGAGCGCACAGCTCTGACCGCAACGAACCCTCTACGTGGTTGAGTTTCACGGGCAGTTTGTGGTGCGGGACTTCCACCTCAGTAAAGCTGTTTCTAACACTTGAACCTGTCATGTAAGAACATTCTCGCTCCCTTTCTCTTTCCCCCACTGCCCCAGCTGGGGAGTGAAGAGAAAATTTAACCTTACATCAAGTGGATGGTTGTAACAATGACTTGGACTGACACTGCACATTAGTGATTTGAGACCACGTTCGTGATGCAAAGTGACACGATGTGACTCTGAGAGATCAGAATAGTCATGGGCTGCCTAAATCTGTATCTAGGAGATCTGTATAAAATTTAAATGGGAAATAAAAATAAAGTTGTCTCTGGTTCTCTGGTTGTGACCCAGGTCCTGCCCCATTTTACATTCCAATTAAAATGTGAATGAGCCTCTGAACAGCCCCTTCCAGGTTTCCCACAACTGGACTGTCAAGCTGTGTACACACACACACACACACACACACTTCTTCAGAGGCTGGGACACACTGTCATCGCATGTAACAGGCGACTCGGCTCAGAGTCCCTGCTTCCTGGTCCTTACAATCAAGTACCCTGACACAGGGCTGTCCACTTCCCGCTCCTTTCTCGATGACTTCACCGGTGTCAAATGTCCATGGAAACACCCTTGGCTTCATAACATGAGCCTCAGAAGCCCTCCGTCTAAGCCGCAGCATGGGCTCTGATGCCCCAGAGGACAGACAAGCCGCTGACCCACGCCCTGCCCTCCAGATGCTGTTCTCGGGCCCCCCTCCCACACTTTCCACCGTCTACACCCCTCTGACCCAGACCAGGAGCGCTGCCCTTGGGACTGTCTCAGCCCTGGTCCCTGGTGCATCTTAGCAGCTCTGGACTCTTCACAGACATTCAGTATAAACACGATACGTGAACGTTCCACTTTCACCAAAACAGCCCAGGATGGGGCGGAGCGGCAGCCCTCCCACACCAGGGAGGACCGGGGACCGCCTGGGCGGGAGGTCACTTACCGCAGGCCGAACAGCTGTAGGGCCGCTCCCCCGTGTGCCGGATTCGGTGCTTTACCAACTTCCTTTGCATGTTGAAAGACTTCCCACATTCATCGCAGGTGAACACTTTATCAGCCGTGTGTGTCTTCTTGTGCTCCTTCAAATTACTGAAGTTACTGAACCCTGGGGAGACACAACAGGTGTTCAGCTGAAGGGCTGAGACCACGCCAATCAGTAATCTTGAAGGAAGCAGAGAAAACACGCAGCCATACCTCGGCCACAGATGTCACACAAGTGTGGCTTCTCTCCCGAGTGAATAACGATGTGACGCTGGACATCACCCGAGGCTGCAAACCTGCAATGTGAGTGGAGAACGCACCTAAGAGCCTGTGCACACTACTGCACATCCTTGTAACTGCGAGTCCCTGAGCTGCCCCTGACCTTCCTCGAATGTCATCAGAGGTGGCCTGATTTCATCTGAAATGTGCATTAAAAATATCTTTACTTTTCTCTCTTTTTTTTTTAAGGACTGCCTCCCTCACGACCCCAACCAGGGCCGGGGACAAATCGCAACCAAGGTACATGCCCTTGACTGGAATCAAACCCAAGACTCATTGGTCTGCAGCCGACGCTCTAACCGCTGAGCCAAACCGGCCAGGGTAGTGTTTTGTTTTTTACAATACTTTTCCTACCTAGTTGCATTAATCTTTCTTCAGAGATGGCCACCAACTTGGCTCAGCTTATGAGTAAGCCCAGCCCAGGCCCTGGATGTGGAGTCCAGGCCTTCTTTCCCACACTGACAGAGGAGTAACACACTGGGTTGGGCAGCAGGGAGGCCCGAGAGGCGGGGAAGGTCGGACTTGTTCACCACCACCTGTGGACACCCGTTTTCCTGAAATCCCCCTTGGTGTTCCCACAGTGAGCGCTGCTCTCTGCACGAGAGGACTCTGACTGTCCCATGGCCAATTCTTCCTCCCGGACTCCCGAGTGTGAACTTATCAGAAGCAGAGAAGTCGTATGTTTCTATCACAGCACTTACATACACAGTAGATGGCTAATTCAGCTAAATGCTGAATGAATGAGTGTAAAGCCATGTGGCTGATAGTCCTGGCTGATGCCTGTTGTCCTGCATGACTGTCAGAGGAGAGTATGTAGACTGCGATACATGACCCCAGCGAGGGGACAGGGCCAGCGTCTGGGCCTGTGTGCACACAGGGGCCCCCTCTTCAGACTGCAGCCCCCTCCAGGGTGAGACTGGGCCTGTGTGCACACAGGGGCCCCCTCTTCAGACTGCAGCCCCCTCCAGGGTGAGACTGGGCCTGTGTACACACAGAAGGGGCCCCCTCTTCAGACTGCAGCCCCCTCCAGAGTGAGACTGGGCCTGTGTGCACACAGGGGCCCCCTCTTTAGACTGCAGCCCCCTCCAGAGTGAGACTGGGCCTGTGTGCACACAGGGGCCCCCTCTTCAGACTGCAGCCCCCTCCAGAGTGAGACTGGGCCTGTGTGCACACAGGGGCCCCCTCTTCAGACTGCAGCCCCCTCCAGGGTGAGACTGGGCCTGTGTGCACACAGGGGCCCCCTCTTCAGACTGCAGCCCCCTCCAGGGTGAGACTGCCGCCAAGTCCATGCTCACCTCCCGAGCCCAAACCCACGGAGCCCTCAGGCTCGGCCCCCTCCCTCCTTGCGGCTGACTCCGGAAGTCCCGCGGGCCCACACTGGGGCCCTTCCTCCCACCGTCCTGAATTCTGGGCAGTCAGGCTGCAAGTCTCACTCCCCTGCAAGACACCTCTGTGGGGCGGTCAACTATTTTCATGGCCATTTTTGGAAAGAATGAAAACTTTAGTATAACATCAGTCTATTTCATGTAAAATCCCATTTCCTAAGACTGCTGTCCTAGATTTTCTTTCTTTGAATGAGCATCTTTTTCTTTTTGTTATTCTCATGTGTCACATGCAAGGCTCTGCGGAGGGTTGACGGGACCTGTGCTCCTTCGTGGCAGAGTGAGCTCCAAGCAGCCCGTGCACGAGCCAGCCAGAGAGCACTGCTTCCCAAAGGGGCCAGACCATGAGGTGTTCCCTAAGGGCGAAGGACAGGCCCAGCACTGACCTCTTTCCACAGACTTCGCAGATGTACGGCTTTTCACCAGAATGCCGACGTAAGTGAGTCTGCAAGTTACCTGCCTGCAAAAAAAGAAGAAAAAGCATACCAATAATGAAAGGGCTTCTTTTTGGGAAAAAAAAAAAGGTTATATACATTCAAATGGGGACTGAGATGCAGCCAGGCTCCAGTCCAACTTCCAAAGGAAGACTAGACATGCACAACTCGGAAGGAGCCATGTGCAGGAGGAAGGGCCCCCCAATTCTAACTGAGGAGTGTCCCTGCCTGGCGTCTGCTGAACCTGACTGGTCTCTGGACTGTGCTCCAGGGCCAAGGGCTGCCCACGAGCCTCTGGCTGTCCCACTGCAGGTCTGTCCTGTGCCACTTTTCTCTTAAACGGTGACAGTGCGGGCTGCTGTGGCGGTCGCTAGGCTTGCGTTTTAAACAGACCTTGATGTGTTATTTCATATACTTTTAAACTTGAACCAGCTATATGCAAGTATCACTTGGAAAAAAAGTAGCGCTTGCACAATATTTCAAATTCATTGTTTCTTCCTAAGAACCATGCTTTTGTTCAGAAAGAGAGATTTCCGAACAGCATTTCCTCTGCAATACGGCAGTTCTGCCTGACGGGCTCGTCACCGTCCTTTGTGTAGTCTGCACAGCAGGAGAGTCACCCAAGTCCTCCGTCGCAGGGCCTTCACGTTCCTGATTTCTGACAGGGCTTTACAAAGAATAACCAATTTAAATGGAGGTCTTGAAACAGACTTCCACGTACGAGTCGATAGGAAACTGTACTAAGTTGCCTGCAGTGCAGTGAAACTGAGCCTGTGAATGTCTCGGAGGGTAGACACGCTCCATCCACGCTTCCATCCAGGGCTCGGAGACAAATTCCATTGCTGAAATGTAACTGCACAGCCTCCATCTGTCACACCCTGCTTAATTTTGTATAGTGTTGGGTTGAAAAGCAAATGCTGAAATAAGTGAATACACCCAAGGGTAATAATGCGCAGGCGTTATGCACAGAGAAAGCCAAGGGGGATGAGCAGTCATACCCGGCGGACACGCTTGGCTTTGTAAGTGTGCGATTCTATTTGAAATACAATGCAAAGACAGTTCGTGGTTATAGGTTTGAAGATAGGTCTGAAGTCCACCTGGGAGTGGAAACATACAGGAATTATAAATCTGGCCTGGATTTTCTGTTATGACATGGAAAATTCTTTGTGTCTGTTCAGACTCAGGGAAACACTGTGTTAGATATTACCTCTTAGAATATGATAAATATGGTTTAGACCAAAAAAACCCCAAAACACCTCAGGTTTATTTTAGGTAACCAAAGAGAGAGTACTTGGCAAAACCCAGCTTTTAATAGAATGACTATGAATAACAATAATAAAGCAACAAATGCCAATAGCAATATATATGTCGTCTAGTCTGGCCTTTACACGCATTACCAAGTTACCCTTAGTAACTGGTATTAAAATGTCTATTTTCAAGATGAAAAACCGAGGTTTAGGTCAAGTGCTTGCTGCAGTGAGTTACACGGCTGGGCCCGGGGCTGACGAGGGCTTTGTGAGTGGAACTACCGTCTTACCTGAGGGAAAACCTGAGGACGCACGGTTCTGTGAGTCAACTAGCTCGTGTTGAATACTCAGTATGATAAGGAGTCACTTTGCCCTTCAGCAAACAGCTCACTGGAGTTAAGATAATGCACCACTGGCTGTTTTAAATCAGTCACTTCCAAATTTCAGAGAAACTCATCAGTTATATAACAATGCAAATAGCACCATCTGCTCAACCGTTAAATTAGATCCCTTGTTTCAAGTTACTTTGTAAACTATGTATTGCGATAGAAATTCACTCTCTGAATCAATTTTGAACAATGCGTATTTTTCCTTTTTAAGTAAAGCATAATTACTTGTTTTCCAAGGAAATATAATCAAATGGTCTTCCACTCAATATTATAATAAGCAATAATAAACAATTTTTAAAAATGTTTCTTTAGCTATTTAATAGTAGAAACAAAAAATGGAAATAATTATCCTTTCCCACAAAAAAAGGAAGACATATTAGTCTGATAAATTATATAAAAGAAGATTAAATAATAAAAAAATTCAGGCAAAAAAGTCCAATAATGCATTTACATAATTTACACCAAAGTATGTGGCAAAATGGGGCCCAAACTGTTTGACCTTTAGTCGTGTTTTCAGTTTGAGTAAACTTTGCTATGCTCTAATTAGACGCTCAGCACACAGATCACATCCCAGAGATCATCCACAGTGGGGCCATGAAGACTCGCAAGCGGTAACAGTAACAGGTTCCAGTGCTAAGACATCATTGTGAATGAAGCACTCTGCTACGCAGTTGCAAACAGCACTGCACTGATCATCACAACGTCCTTATACAGTAGCACTGCTCCCATCTTACAGAGTGGTGGGCCCGGGAGGGAGACTGAGTCTCGGCAGACAGTGGACGGAGGGCTCTAACCCGGGCTGTCCATGCGCAGCAAAGCCCGCTGCGGCCGAGTGTGCAGCTCTGCTAGGGAATGTCGGCAGCCGAGAGGGCGTGCTCCTCCTGAGCAAATGCGGCTTTCAACCAGGAGGAAGTTGTCCGAATTTTGAACAGAAACACTCTGTTGTAGAAAAGAACATCTGATTTGTTGAGTAATTTTTAAAATGCTGTTAACTCCTTCCAATATGTAGTTAAACATGAATAAGCCGAGCATGTTATTTTCTATCAGAGTACCCTTCTGATGGCCGCTGATTGTTTATATATAAATAGTCAGGAGCCCTGGCCGGTTTGGCTCAGCGGTTAGAGTGCCGGCCTGCGGTCCAGAGACCCAGGTTCGGTTCCCACTAAGGTCACGTACCTCAGTTGCAGTTTGTCCCTGGCCCTAGTTGGGTCGTGCAGGAGGCGGCCACTCGATGTGTCCCTTTCGCATCGATGTTTCTCTCTCTCTCTCTCTCTTCCTCTCTTTTCCTCCCACTTTATCTGAACAAAAAATGGAAAAATGTCCTCGGGTAAAGATAAAAAAAAAAAAAGTCAGGAAATCATAAAACTTTAGAGATAAAAGGATCTCAGATCTTAAGCCACCTAGTTCATTTTCAAGACTTTAGGATGTCACAAAGTAATAAAACTGAAAGGAAAAACATCTGGAGATTAACAAAGAGATGTCACCTAACAAAAATGATCACTATGCTGATAAAAGGATATTAACACCCAAGGTGTGGGAACTATCACCGTAAGAGATGAACACTCAATAACTTGGAAACAGTTCTCTAAACTACCCTTATGTTTGCATTGTCACCATGGGTGGGGTGACACTTTGTCACCTCTGGCATCGGGCCACAGCAGCGCCTTGGGAACCACACATCTATCCACGCGGCCTCGCACAGGTTGCTGTGTCCCCCCCATCACGCGAGGCCAGGGCAGCCACCCCTGCACACAGCGCTGTGGAGGACACAGCCTCTCGGAACCTGCCTTCCTGCACCGCGGCTCCATGTTTCTTTCCTCCTCCTGGGAGAGACGAACAACTCCAGTCCTCTCCCAGAGAGCTAATTTCACCAAGTGTTCCTTCTGCTAGGTCCCACGTGACAGGCAGCGAGACCTTCCTTTCTCCTCTGCATGCACCGGGCAGCCCCGCTTCTCCACACTGAGACTCAGCACTCTGTATGGAGACCTTTCTCACTCTACAGCACGACTCTGACCGCCTGGGACCCGGGCAGACAGAGTCCAGAATTATATTCACACGTATACTCTGTGGCCAAATCTAGGATCACAGTCGTTTCTTAAAGCGGATGTCTCGTACTGCTTGCTGATTCATTATTAGGGTTGTGGCTGACCAACCCTTCTAAATACTGAATTGAGCAAAGACTATGAACAAATCAATTCTCACTGATAAATCTGTTTTTTAACTTTTGAATATTCCAGAAGGGAAAATATTTACAAACTCTCGTCTACCCAAGCAAACATTCTGGCAACTGCGTGGGACCATTCCAATCCACTGCACCCAGACATTTATTTCAGTGCATTCTGGGAAACGGATGCTGGCTTGAGGTGAAGGGTGGCTAGTGGCATCATTTACTGTCTCGGGCTGCCCTCTTGGCCTACAAGGCCTCCTTGTCTTCTGAGCTCCCCTAGGCAATCTCTCACACATTTCCTGCCCCCGCAGACCACACCCTGTTCAGGCAGCAATGACCACTCTCTTCTCCACGCTCCCTGCACCCCCTCGCAGTAAGCACTCCCAGCGTCGGCGCGCCTTATGGTGTATGCATCTGCGTCCTCTGAGCACTGCGCTGCTCGCGGCCTCATCGGCCTCTGTCCCCAGCGTGTGGCACGGCTCCCCGGACTCCGCAGGCTTGCAACAAACGTGTACTGAATGACATTTTGAAAAGTCTTTGCTCACCAAAATTTCATTTCACTATGAAATAAAACAATATACATCTGAAAACCGTAACTATACATAACTCTGCATTTATAAAAATCTGACAAAATACAGAAACCAACCTAGAAGAGGAGGATTTCTCCAGCGTCCATCAGACAGGACTGCCCTGGCAGGACTCGGAGGGAAAGTGCTGGATAACGTAGACGGCAGTGGTCCTCACCTTAGCTGCACATCAAACTGCTGTATTAAAAATAGGCCAACACTTGCCCCCGACCCCACGCCGACAGTCAGTCTGGAGGGTGGGCCTGGCGTCAGTGCCAGGAGAGAGGCTGCGGGCGGCCCGAGGTCAGCTCTCCCCTCACGGTTAGCAAGGAAGTGTCGCAGAAAGTGGTCCAAGCAAGAAGGGGACAGAACTGAAATGATTACAATTTTAATGTATAAAAGGCTTTCTGGTCCATTTTCTCATTTAATCCTAATAATATTCCCCTGATGGAGTGTTATCCCTATTTTAAGAATTATTAAAATGAGGCCCAGAGAAGCTGTGATTGCTAATAGTTATTGGTCATTCATTCAGCCTTAGCTTCCCCACTACACGGAGGCCGGAGGATTACAACGGTGTGCGTGGGCCAGCTCAGGGAGACCGTCTACAGGAGGAGAGGACCGAAGAGGAGAGAAAGGAGGTGTTGCCAACAGGACAGGAAATGATGTTTCCTGAGTATAAATATCTTATCAGCTCATTTACTCCTCTGTCCATTGAGGTCAGTAATCCTTTTTTTTTTATCCTAACCCGAGGACATTTTTTTTGCATTTATTTTCAGATAGAGCAGAATAAATGCAAATGCCACCCATACGACCCCAACCGGGGCTGGGGACAAACTGCAACTGAGGTACATGCCCTTAGCAGGAACCGAACCTGGGACTCTCTGGTCTGCAGGCTGACGCTCTAACCGCTGAGCCAAACTGGCCAGGGTGGGGTCAGTAATCTTTTCCTTGTTTTACAGATAAGGAAACTGAAATGCCAAAAGGTTAGGTGGCTTGCTAGGTCACAAAGCAGTAAGCCAGCGGCAGGATTCAGAGCCAGACTGCCTGGCCCTGGAGCCCAAGCTCTGACCCCCAGTGAGCTGGTATGAAGAAGCCCAACTAGAACGGCACCTAGAGGAACGAGCAGTCCATCTAGTTTTCAGAACGTACTGACCATCGAGTGGGTGCCAGGCATTCTCCCGGATGACAAACAAGACAAGCCCGCGCCCAGACTAAAACCCGCTGAATCACTGGAAAGTCTTTAAGATTGCAGGTCTGGGTGTGTGGGAAAATGATGAAAGGAACGCGTCAAAGATGGTGCTGCTCTGGCTGTTCCATGCTCCGCAGGCAGGGAGGGCCTGCCTCCCAACTCTCACCAGACTAGTGGTCTCTATTCCTGATCAAGGGCCAGCCTGAAATCCTCTCCCAGTGAAACGGCCGTGCACAGCTGCCGCAGGATCGACCATGCGCTGTGCGCAGCAGCTGTGTGGTAACTGGTTCCTCTGCAGGGCTGTGCACCTGGGCCCCGCAAGAGGCTTCTGTCTCCTTTACCTCTGGAATGTCAGGGCCCAGCATGGGGAGATGAACAGCTGCCTCTGTTTCAAAAGGAAAAAGAGGTTCCCACAGCCTGCATTCAAAAGTTTCTCTAAAACATTATATCTCCAGGTTCCTTTAGGTCTAGTGCCCAGATCAGTACATAGCCCATGGGATACAATAAACACTGGTGGAATGAGAGATTTAGTATGTCAGCTTAATAGAGGTCAGCTAAAAGGTAGCAAAAGCAGGGAATGAGATGGTTTGGTCATTTTCCAGCATCCCGACACATACAGTCCCAGTAAGAAGGGAAGGTACTTGGCTGAACGCGGCCCAGCAGTCCGCAGCCTCTAGGTGTGCACAATGTGGCTCACGTACTCGTGGGGGGAATATACTGGCACTGCGCCCACCCCGGGTAGGTGGGCTGTGAGAGTGTGCACACTTATAAAGAGTGGTATGTTTCTCCCAATGCACTAGACATTTGTTCCTTGGAAATTATTTTCTCCTGATGTAGTCTATAGTCTTTTAAGTTACAGATATCCTCAGAGGCTTCTCTCACAACTCCAGAAGTGTCTTATTTGTAATAAAAATCAACACTAGGTTTCAGGTTTCCAATTATTAACAATAAATAAAAGTATTCCCACCTGAGAGAAATGTTTCCCACAAATGTTACATTCAAAAGGTTTCTCACCTAAAACAAAACAAAACAAAATAACAGCTTGTCAAATCATTCGTATTATATGCACAATCATTTTCTGCTTCAAATGTTTAAACTATCCCGTGTCTGGCCACTCAAAACAGGTTATGTTCATCATACGGGTATGAAAAGGAGAGTCTTCACACCTCTTCCTTGTCTCTCTTGTTCTTAGATGGTAGGCAGAGATGACAAAGTGAAATCTATGACTGCTTTTCTCTAAAAAAATCAAACAGTTCTCCAAATATAATCCTGTATTAAAGTCAAACTTACTTATCTGCATTCAAACCCTACCGAGGTTTTGGACACAGTCTGCCCTTCGGTTGAGTTTTACTGCTGAAGGGCATGGACCTGTCCACAGGTCCCTCAGCCTGACTCCTCCATGTGCCCACCAATGACGAACAAAACGGGGGCCTCATTCACAATACGTGAGGTGCAGACACAGGTCGGCCCCGAGCCGAGTGACGGCCTGAAAGTGGGACAGTCTGGAAAAGCCCCTCCCCTGCCTCTTAGTCTTGGTTGAAGATGCTGACAGGGGAAAAGGAGACATTATGGGAGCCACCTCTGATTTTAGTAACTCTGAATAATTACATCTTTGGAATAGAATAGACTACAGAAAATGGAACTCTGCTACAAAGAAATCACAGCAGTTCTAAATACAGTCTCTAGAAAATTATCAGTTTAAAAGCTCACTTCAAAGTTCTACCTTTAATCTAGATAACACTAACAAAGAGACTTGGAAGACCTAGAACCTTCCATTTTCCCCATTCCCCTCCAACAAGGGGTTGCATCAAGATTCTCTTTAAAAAAAATAACAATGACCTATCCCCTCCTACAGCATTGCTGGGGCTGCTAGCTTTCTGGGATCCTGCCTGGTATTTTCACCCAAAACTATTTAATGGTTTCCTCAAGGATGAGGCAGGCAGAAAGCTTCTGACTCTGAATAGTTATAATCATATGGATTCTGTATTTTGGAGCAATATTTATGTCTGAAGTTATCAGGATAATAGATAACGTTAAGTTAAAGTCCCATTACGAGGTCTGAGAGTTTGAATGAAGAGGCCACCAGTTATTACCTCTCACATGACCAGAATAACCCTACTCCAGTGGTTCTCAAACGTTTTGCTCTCAGGATCCCTTCACACTTTTGTTCATGTGGGCTCTGTCAGTATAGTCCATACTAGAAATGAAAACGAAGTGATTTTTGACACACATGACTAGACATCTCATCGGCCACCGAGTGATGACAGCCTTTGGCCAACTCCACTGCACACTCATGGGAGAAGAAGGAAAAGGCAAGTGACATCCTCCCGGTGATGGAAATAGCGCTGGCCTCACAGACGCCCTGGGAGTTCCCCAGGTCATAATTCAAGGGCTGCTTCCTCTCAATAGAGTGTGTCCAAGTGAGCGTCTTTGCCGTGATATATATCATTGTTGTTCAAAGATGTTCTCACACAATAAACAACTCAATTTTTCTTTCCTTTACAGCTAAACAGATAAGTTTCTTTGACAAAAATTATGGTGGTCATTAGGCTGTAGAATATTTAAGCAGAGTGACCTAAATTAAGTTTTGTTAGGACAAAACTGAATCAGTGATAACTGCCTTCATATGGAGTACACTTCTAAACTACCAGTAATAACAGTGGTAACATTTTACATTCAAATACATTACAGTTGATAAAGGGCTTTTGTAACTATTAGTTAAGTCTCAGCCAAGCAGCGAGGTGGTGACCGCCTGGGCACACCGGGAATTGGGGGTAACTGCAGCTGCACAAGCAGTTACTCTGGAGGTGTCTGTAGCCCCTTACTTCTCATGCCTACAAGACAACTGCCATTCATCTGTAGTGTGTGTTAGACTCAGCATGGTCAAGTGCAGGAAGAAAAGTAATACATAGGCATCGTATAATGTAATATGTATGTGCTGTATAACACTTTTTTAAAAGCTTTGGGAAAAAGAAACTTTTTGCAAAGGGGAGGAGGTATAAATGAAGGTAATAAAACTGAAAATTCAATGTTCAAAATGGAAGAACTTTCATTTGAAAATATCAAATGGTTAAAGCTGATCCTTAAAAAGTTGATCTTCCACCTTCCAAATCATAATTTTTAAAATCTGATATTGAAATTACTTTCCAGAGAACTTTTAAAATTACTCAAACTAAATTATTTTAGTCTCCATTAACCTACATTGGGTTTTGAAAGAATATACTCAGTCTAATTTCAAAGCTCTAAATATAGCTTATCTGTCTTAGAACTGGAAAATCTCAGTATATCAAAATAATTTACTATGCTTCTTTAGAGACAGAAAGTTTATCATATAAAAATCTAATTAAAATAAAAATAAAACTGGCTCTAAGAAAGCAGCTATAGAACTTTAAGATTATTCCTTAAGAGGTGTCACGATAAATATAAATTAAGAAGCAGCTGATGCTTCTTGTCTGTGTGCAGATGTCAACGCCACCATCAAGCAACAGCAAAACTTCTTACAAGGAGAGGAGCAGGCGCCGGTGTGCGAGCGTCTGCGTTACTTCCTGTCCTCGGCCCGCGGGCACTGAGTCAGTGTACCTGTATGCGACCGTCTGTGAAGCTCCAGGTTGCTGGGGTGTTTGAAAGGTTTCCCACACAGCTCACATGCATGCTGCCTCTGGGACTGGGGCTCCTGGGCCGGGTCTTCTGGGGCCCCGAGCTCTTCCGGCCTCTCCGTGTCAGTACTGCAGTTAAAACCGGCAGAGCTGACGAGTTCGTCACCTTCCTTCTCTTCCGCGCTTTGACCGCTGGCTCTCTCTGTCGTGTTTTCACTAGCAGAGTCGATCCTCTTTGTTACACCCTCATCTGGCTTGGGTTCAGAAGTTTGCTCTGCAGATTTCTGTGACTTCAGGAAATTGAGCTTCTTCAGGTGAATGGCCTTTTTGAGCCTCATCTGTCTGGTAGGTTGTTGGCACGTGCTGTCTGACTCGGGGTCTGGGGCAGGCTCACTCAGAGGCTGGGCCAGGAAGTTGGGAGGCAGGTGCTCTGAGGACTGCAGGGTGCACTCGGAATGAGTGACAGCACAGGGCTGGTTCTCCACGGCAGCAGTCAGGTCTGCGGACGGGCTGACAGTGAAAGGCTGCCCGATTAGTCTCTCGTGACTGGGACAAGTGGCTTGTTTATAGTACTGCTTGCTGTACAAGTTTCTGAGTTTGTAGTAGTAATTTGGCTGTTTGAATGGCAGTTCTGTGCAGCTGCTGTCTAAAGTATCAGAGGCTTGTTTCGACGTGTCACCTGCAGGGTGATGAAGATGAACTGACGGTGGAGCCTGGGAGGGCGGCTCGTCTGCGACCTTACTGTGCCGAACATCTGCCGAACACTCTTGCAGCAAATGAGGAGAGTAGTTCTCACTGATGACACAGCTGGTGTCAGGAGTCAGGGCGCTCTGCAGGGAGAATGCACTACTACAAGGCATGCCAGCTGGTGGCTCCACGGTGGTTGATTTTAAAAACGTGTGACACAGATTCAGAACGTTTTGAACTTGCAAACACTGTGCTATGTCCAGCATCACTTGTACATTGTCCTGGTTAAGGTCTAGCTGAGATGTGTACATGAAGTCCAAGATCTGCCCGATGCCACTAACGTTTTTAATATCCAAGTGAAAAACATCATTCTTCTGGCCTGAAGAATTCTGGAAGAGGCTCCTAAGGAAAGAAAAGAGATCTGTTTACAGGGTTAACAATTCATACATGCTGATAACTTTTTCTTTTTTTTTTAATCCTCACCCGAGGACATTTTTCCATTTTTTTTGTTCAGATAGAGTGGGAGAGTGGGAGGGAGGGAGAGAGGGAGAAACATTGACGTGAAAAGGACACATCGAGTGGCTGCCACCCGCACAACCAACCAAGGCCGGGGACAAATTGCAACCAAGGTACATGCCCTTAGGGGGAACTGAACCCGGGTCTTTCTGAACTGCAGGCCGATGCTCTAATCACTGAACCAAACTGTCCAGGGCATATAAATGCCAGAATTTAAACATTAAGTATGCTTTAACCCTTTTTAAAAAATTGATAAGCCGTCCAACAAAGCCATTCAGATAAATGAAATTAGTGTGTTGAATATCCAAACTTCCAAGTACATCTCAAAGTAAAGTTCTACAACATACTTGTGACTCTTTTTTCAAATGTAATTATCTATATATATTACTAACTGCATACAGAGTACAGAAAACTAAAGGATGCACATTTTTCTTTTTTTATCCTCACCCGAGGACATTTTGTTCAGATAGAGTGGGAGGGAGAAAGAGAGAGAGAGAAACATCGATGTGAAAGGGACACATCGAGTGGTTGCCACCCACATGACCACCCAACCAGGGCTGGGGACAAACTGCAACCGAGGTACATGCCCTTAGCGGAAACCGAACCCGGGTCTCTCCAGACCGCAGGCCAATGCTCTAACCGCTGAGCCAAATCGGCCAGGGTAGGATGCACATTTTTCACTATTTCCGGTTTATAGTCCAACAAATCCATAAAATACATATAAAAATATTTCCATATCTATGTGGAAAAATGTCTAAAAATAAAAATAGCTATAATAGCCCTGGACAGTGTTTCTCAATGGTTACAGAATCAGCCTACACACCAAAGGGTCATGGGTTCAATTCCCAGTCAAGGGCTTATACATGGGTTGCAGATTTAATCTCCAGCCCCAGTTAGAGTGCATTTGGGAGGCAACCAATCGATGTGTCTCCCTCACATCAATGTTTCTCTCTCTCTCTTCACCCCCCACCTGGCTCCCCTCCCTTCCTTCCACTCTCTTTAAAAATCAATGGAAAAAATATCCTCGGGTGAGGATTAACAACCGCAACAAAAATAGTTATAATAAACCAACCCTTGATATATACTCATTTTTTTAATCCTAATTTTTAATTGTGGCAAAATACATGTAATGTTACATTAAACACTTAATCATGGTTCAAATGACCAATTTAGTGGGATTAAGGACATCCACAATGTTGTGCAACCATCACCTCTATCCGTTTCTAGAACCTTTTTATCATCTCGAACAGAAACTCTGTCCCCATTAGCCACTAACTCCCACTCTCTCCCTCCCCGAAGCCCCTGGCAACCACCTTTCTACTTTCTGTCCGAATACGACTGCTCTAGGACCCTGGCATACGTTCCTTCTGTATTCAGTCATTCACCCAGAGGCTGTCTGGAGCAGCCCAATGGTCCATACATCAGCAGTGAGAAAAGCCCTATGAGTGAATGAGGGGAAAAGGCACCCTTCCATAAAGCCCAGACACTGTACTCTGGGCACAAGCCAAGTTCACCAGTGAAGGAACTGTCCTGTGTAAAACACTAAGCTGAGGCAGGGATGTTATCCTACAGCATTGTTCAAGACATTTTACCACATGCAGTCACCTGCTCCCCCCAAACAGCCTTCAGCTCTGTTTTTTTCCACAAGGAAAGTACAAATTAGAAGCGGGATGTGGAAAATGCCAAATAGTCAACATATCACAACACTGAAATTCAACTGTCCTGGGAAGACAGAAGAAAGACAAGCGTGACTCTAGGACCACTCTGCAGGACAACAGTGCGGCCTGCCTCAGGAGCTGATCCACTGTCATATGGACTTCCAGCATATGTAATGGCTGAGACTTAACCTGATGGGTCAGGGATACTGAGGAGAGTAAATCCTGTTCCACAGGTTGTTACCAGAGCAGTAAAACAGGATGCATTCTAGGGAAAAAAAGGTACTAAAAAGAAGCTTCATTGCCTACAGAGCTAAATCTAGTTCACGAGAGCATGTATGGAGAACACTTAACTCTAACATTAAAATAAATGCTTGATGTTACTATTTATAATCTTTGACGTAGGCAAAAATGATTGCAGGGGTTAACAAATTGAGTTCAAACCTGTTTTCCTAGACAGTCAAATGAGAAACAAAAACTAAAATGTTTTAATTTAAAAACAAACAAACCAGCATACAGACTGTTCCCCCCACCCCGATTTCTTATCACAGAGAAGTTTTCTCAATCCTTCTGTCCTAAAAGGATAAGAAATATATATATATAGAAGACTGACTTTAATTAGATTGTTAAAAATCAAAGAGAAAGTACCAAAATGCTTTCAATTGCCCTAAATACAGATGATGTATTATGAAACTTAACCCAAAATCTATATAATTTTATTAACTGTCACCCCAATAAATTCAAACAACAACAACAGCAAACCCCACAATGCACTACAAAAGGAGAGTGAAATCCACAGAGCAGATAAAATTTAGTCAAAATATTTCCATCTTGCCCTGCCAGTTTGGCTCAGCGGTTACAGTGTTGGCCCTCAGACCGAAGGGTTGTGGGTTTGAGGGCATGTACCTGGGTTGCAGGTTCAATCCCCGGCCCATGGGGGTTGTGCAGGAGGCAACTAATCAATGTGTCTCTCTCACATGGATGTTCCTCTTTTTCTCTCCCTCTCCCTTCCTCCCTCCCTCTGTCCCACTCTCTCAAAAAAATCAATGGAAAAATATCCTTGGGTGAGGATTAACCAAAAACAAAAAAAATTTGATCCTGTAAGAGCTTCTTCTCTGTACAATTAGAAGAACAAAGACTGAAATCTGTACCTAAAATACTGACTGAACGCTGCAAGGACATTCTTATGTGCTTTAAAGCAGACACCTTTCACCACCAACATACAGTCACAAAGCAGGCCTTGAATCCGCTGCTCGTGCAGCTGCTGGAGGAGGTGGCAGCTGTGGGCAGCTACTGGCTCCATGCTCGGGCATTCAGGAGACCTGCAGCAAAGAGCGCAGATAAAACGGTGATTCTTGATGACACGTCTGGAAACTAACAGCACCAAAACCCATGATCTGTGGTTCACTATCATGAGTCCCTGTCACAACAGTTTAAAAAACAAACAAGGAAACAAAAAAATAGTTTTTTAAGCAGCTCAATCAGCGCTGTCCAATAGAACTATCTGCAATGATAAAAATGTCCCATCTCTGCCCTGGACAGTTTGGCTCAGTGGTTAAGCACGGGCCCGCAGACAAAAGAGTCTGGGTTGGATTCCAGTCAAGGGCATGTACTTCGGTTGTGGTTCAGTCCCCAGCCCTGGTTGGGGTCGTGCAGGAAGCAACCAGTCAATGTGTCTCTCTCAGATGGATGTTTCTCCCTCTCTCTCTTCCTCCCTCCCACACTGTCTGAAATAAATGGAAAAATATCCTTGAGGATTTTAAAAAAAAAGTCCCACCTCTGCACTGTTCCACACAGTAGCCATTAGCTACATGTGGCCACTGAGCACTTGACATGGGGCTAGTATGATCAAGAAACTGAACCTTTAAACTTAGTCATATACATAAACACTTATAAGGTTAGAAAAAAGCCAACTGGAAAAATCAAATCAATTTTTTCTGAGTACTTGTATAAGGGGCACTGAATTAGAAGTTGAGGAAAGTTCGAAGCTTATTTGGGGAGCTCAGGTACAAGTCAAAATAAACGACCACCACAAGACAACGACAGAAGAGCTATCACAAGGCAGCACGGCCATTCGTGTGTTCCCCCAGTCCTCTCCAATGAGACACTGTAGCGGAGGCCTGAAGGAAGTATGGGAATGAGCCCTGGGTACCTGGGACAGAAATCCGAGCAAGCTCCAGTGAGGCGAGGCTGAGTGACAGGACATGACTTGAGTGAGGGAGGGAGGGCGGGATGGAGGGCGCGGGGAGAGAAGAGGGTCATGCAGGGCCTTTTGGGACCTTTGAAGAACCCTGACTCTGAACGAGATGGGAAGTCATTATGGGGATACAGACAGTATTATTCAATATCTGGTTATTGACTGACTGTATGCCAGGTTCTAGGGCTTCAACAACGAACAAAACACGTTGGGTCTCCACCCGCATGAAGCTTCAATTGTAGGGAAGGGAACACACACACACACACACACACACACACACACAAGTACATGACATACAACTACACAAAATAGTTTGAGCTAGACACCCGAACACACAGGTGAGTTAACACGTGGGCTCTGACGTCCAGGAGCTCAGCCTCGTGAGATGATTTATGGAAGAGGAATACAGGCAGACCTAGATGTTTGTGCTTCACTTCATTGTGCTCCACAGATGGTGTATTTTCTACAAATTGATGGCAAGACCCTCCTCCACCAGCAAAAACACTACTACCCAGCTTTTAAATTTAAATTTAATTTAATTTTATTTCCTTTATTGATTTTAGAGAGAAAGGAAGGGAGATGGGGAGAGAGAGATAGAAACATCGATGAGAGAGAACACTGACTGGCCGTCTCCTGCATGCCCCCCACTGGGGATTTGGCCCACAACCTGGGCATGTGCCCTGATCGCGAATTGAACTGGAGACCTCTTGGTGCAGGGGTCGATGCTCAACCACTGAGCCACACCGGCCGGACAGTACGGAGCTTTACTGTGATACTCACTTTATTGTGGTGGCCTGGAACTGAACCCACAGTATCTCTGAGGTATGCCTGCAGTGGAGAGAAACAAAGTGAGACTGGGACAAGACTATGGGGGTTAATGTGGCAGTTTGACACACTAAAAACCTAAAGTCACTATCTGCTTTATTTGTTTTCATCTTTAGTATGTAAGCATTACTGAAAAAAAAAAGGTCACTAAACCAAGCCAAAATCTAAACTTTTGAACACGGCCTCCTTCTACTCCACCACCACCACCATTATTATCATTGCTCACCCCCATTACTCCCAGATGTGCCAGCCAACACACACTACCTCCGACTCCCCAAACAGGCTGTGTTGTTGGCCAGTGTTGGAGCCCTAACCCGCTCTCATTTGCTCTGAGATATCACAGGTTACTGAGATAAATGTGAGGACCCATGTGAACATTTAGAACAGCAACTGGCAGATGGCAGATGTAAGTATTCAACAAATGTTATCTATGTTATCAAATGTAAGGAACGCCTGGGGAGCCTGTTAAAAATGCAGATGCCTGGACACTGTCCCAGAGTTTTGTTCAGTGTTTAGCAGGGGGCCAAGGCATCTGCATTGTAAGCATCCAGGGCATTCTGAAGCAGGTGGATTGCGGACCTCTGCCTTGCTCTCTCCCCCAAAAGCCTCTGGTTCTGATACTTCCTGTCCTGGGAGAACTTTATTTACTCTGACCCTCCCACCTTCCGGGTAACGCCCAGTCCCCTGTCAGGGCTCAGCTGAGCTGTCACCAACTTCTGGAAGCCTTTTCTGCTGCCGTTCATAGCATGTTCCCTCCTCCCCACTGTTCCTCCTCAAGTCTGACTCTGGGGTCATTCCTCTACGACCCCACAGCACCCATATAAACTTCCATAAGATCACTTGTCCTTACGTTCCGTCGTCTGTGTCTCCAACTCTGCTGTGAGCTCTGAGGGTACCATCTTACTCATCTTCTCTGGCACAGAGCAGATACTCAGCCATTACAATTCATGCTAGCTAACTGCTGTTGATAATGAGTGATGGTTAGCAATGTTTTCTATCCATGTCTTTCGACTCCCTCTACATTCTCCAGAAGAGTTCTCCCGAATTCTTTCCATTCTCTTCATTCTCACCATGTCTGTCTCCCTGAGACACAAAAATGACTGTGACCCCGACCTCACTAAGTCTGAGCCCATGGATAACTTGATATAACCTGAGTGCCTTTATTTTTTTATTTTATTTTATTTTTTTAATCCTCACCCGAGGACATTTTTCCATTTTTTGCACAGATAGAGTGGGAGGGAGAGAGAGGGAGAGAAACATCGACGTGAAAGGGACACATCGAGTGGCTGCCACCCACATGACCAACCAGGGCCGAGGACAAACTGCAACCAAGGTACATGCCCTTAGCGGGAACCGAACCCGGGTCTCTCCGGACCGCAAGCCGATGCTCCAACCGCTGAGCCAAACCGGCCAGGGCTAACCTGAGTGCCTTTAATTTCTTTTGTTTCAAATTTCCCACTCCCCTCCCTCAATCTCTTCAGTTTCACAGGGTGAAGTGTGCTTCTCCTTTCCAAAGCAAATGCCCCTCTCCCCTTGACCCACTCCCTCTCCCAGGACTTTGCTTCACCCCCTCCCCTTTCATTGCTTCACTCTGTCCTCCACTGGCTCTCCGGTTCCTGAAATCACACCAAGATCACCCCATGCTGAAAAAAAGCAAAACAAAACAGCAAAAGCCTCCCACTAGGTACATCTATTCACCTGGGTCTCTCGCACATGCTCAGAATAGCAATCTACACACCCCGCTTTACTTTCTTGGGACCCTTTTCCACCTTGCAGCCTTGCCCCCATTCTCACCGTGCTGAAGCACACTTGCCCACACTATTCTGTCCTCTGTCCCATCCACCCCGGCTTTCTTGCAGCACGTAGAAGTGCAGGCTGCCTACCTCCGTCTTGAAAGTCCTCCATCCCTAGAATGCTTCTGCTCCTCTGGCTATGGCCCTGATCTGCTGTACTTCTTTCTCTGCAAACCTTGCAAAGGTTAATGTCCCTTAACACCCAGCACCTGAGCCCTCTTCTCTTTCCCTTGACAATCACATCTATTCTTGGTCTTCATCTGTTCTAAGCAGACAAGTCCTAAATTTGAAATTTTAGCTTCGACCACCAGTTCCAAATGTCCAACTTTCTGCTAAACATTTCTACCTGTATGACCCCTCAACTAAGAATCTCCAAAACGTATGCCCCATCATCTCACCCTCAGCTCTCCATCTTATTCTGATTCCTCTATTTCTTTATGGAAAGTTGTTTCTAGAATGTGGGATTTGGGGCACTGGCATGGTCTCCTGGTTTGCGGTCAGGGTGGGGTTCAGAGGAAACTGGGACTAGAGGAGATGTCATCTAAAAAGAGCAGCACTGCAGCACTGGGAGTGGATGATATCACTCGAGACGAGAACACAGGAAGGGGAGCATTCTGCCCAGCGGTGGGGGACTGTCTCCAGAGCTGAATCCTCAAAGGTACTGAACAGCCAAACGAGAGTCATGAGTTACCCACCCGTACCCCAGTGGCTGCCTGAAAAGAAAAGGCTTCTTAATTTACTATTAGTATTATTTACTGACTGCTTACTGCAGGCTGGGCTCTATGCTAAGAATATTCTATACGTTAACTCAAATAATGCTATTAAGAACTCTATTCTCACCATTTTACAAGTCAGGAAATTAAGAAATAGGGAGTTTAAGTAACTTGCCCATGATCATAAAACTTGCATTGGAAAGCCAGGGTTAAAATCCTGGTTCCTAGACCCTGCAGTCTGTGCTCACAGGTCATGCTCTCGCCCATGAGAAAAGAAAGGTGGAAAACACAGCACAGCGCCTCCCTCCAGACTTCAATGGTAAAACGCAGCAAATATGCTGAATCTACACCAGACGTTTCCTAGCTATATAGAGGTGAAAAGGAAAAAATCCTTTGGAATGACCCTCAGAGTTACAACGATATGCAAAGTTATGAACCATTCCATAATTTATTTTGACAATAAAAATCATAACGAATTTACATTATTTAGTGTAATTCTCTCATTGCTTCATGATGTTAATCCTGTAAGTCACTTATAAAAAGCCTCTAGAAAAAAAAATCAGTAACTTACATTTCTGTGTGTCCTAGGCGTAACAACTAGTAATGATAACAAATATTTATGTTCCCTATATGCTATCAGGCAATATTCTAATAAGCCCTTTACAAGTTAACTCATTTAGGTTCCTTGTTAACCTCATTTTCTAGATGAGGACAATGAAGCACCTGACAGATTACAGATGGCCACAGCTTCTCTGACACTCTTCCCAAAGGGAAGTGGCATCTGTCTCCTCCCCTGGAATCTGAGCAGCCTCTGCAATCAACAGAACAGGCAGGAATAAGGGTGTAGATCTGTGCTCACTTCCGGGCCCAGGCCCTAAGAGCCCACAGCTCACCCTCCATCTTTTGTGACACTGGCTCTGGAAGGCCGAGTTGCAGGAGGGCTGTGAGATGCCCATGCAGAGAATACACGAAGCGGGAGAAGGGCTCAGCTGAGAGCAGCCTATCAGCCATCCCTTCCCAGGTACCAGATATGGCAGCAAAGACACAGTACACTCTCCAGCCCAGCCCACCAAAGCTGAATACCAGTGCCGGCTGACACATATGGAGCTGAAGAACAGCCCAGCAGAGCCCTGCCTGAATTCCTGATCCCCACACACGTGAGATAAAGTAGTTTTTTTAAAAACATGTTTTTATTGATATTTTTTTTTTTTTTAGAGAAAGAGGAAGGAAGAGAGAAACAACGATGTGAGAGAGAAACATTGATCAGCTGCCTCCTGCACGTCCCCTACTGGAGACTGAGCCTGCAAACGGCACGTGTCCTGACTAGGACTCAAACTGGGACCTCTCAGTCCATGGGATGATACTCAATCCACTGAGTCACACCAGCCGGGTGAGATAAAGTAGTTTTAAGTAACTAAGCTTAGGGTAATTTGTTGCACAGTGATAGCTAACCTGACCAGGTACAGAGAGAATGGTCACACAGCTAGTAATAGGTAATCAATTAGGGATAAAGTTGGAATTCAAACCCAGAAAATATGACTGCAAAGCCCACAGTTTAACCCCTACTGAAATACAGGTGACAGATCAAAGGCCTTTCTTGGATCAAATCATTTGCCTCTTCAGTCTACTGCCTATGCCCGCTGGTCCAGGTAACTCCAAAGCACAGCACCACACTTGAGGACAAATGCATGCAGTACCAGGTACTATGCTGTTACAGGAGCACGGGGCTCTGTCATCTTTGCAGCTAAATCACTTTGTGACAATGAGCAGAAATGTTTGGTTGAAATATGGACATCTGCCTCACTGATCAGTGTAGCTCTCACACCTAGAACAGTGCCCTGGACACAGCAGGTGCTCAATAGATAGTTTCTGAATTGATGTGTGGGCTTCAGTTTATTTATCTGTAAAAAAGAAGGGAATCCCTCATTGGGTTAGTCTTTAAAGTTTTTTCCTGTTCTAGATGCTCCGAATCTATACCAAGAGTGTGACAGTGGGAAGATGGACTGAATGGCACCAAAAATTAAAAAAAGAAAAACAATTAAAAAAATTAAAAAAAGAGAACAAGAAAAGGCTTAGGCAAATATAAAGAAGAGGTGCTTCTAAAGGGAATAAGAGCCAGAATGGAATTTTATCCTGTAGAGACGGCTTCTAGAGCAAAGGCCCTTCTGGCTGGTAGGGCAATTATCAACTAGTCAAACACCAGAGGAAGAATCTGTGGTAGTCTGTTCAGTGGGGACATTAAGAGATTACTTCTCTAAGGGTCCACAGCTCATGTACCTCAGCACCGGGCTTGTCTCTGACGACCCTGCCTTCCTCTGTGGCCATCATGCTTTTCAAATGGCTTATTCCCAACTCCAATGACAAAGGTGCTGACTTCAAGCAAACAAGCGTGGATTCCTGTCTTAGCTCTATACTGACTCGATGATGCTACACGGGCCAATTCAGTTAAGCCAGTATTATGGACCTAGTATATGCAAGACACTGCTGTGAGGATGGAATTCTGGTCAACTGAATGGGGTATGCTCCCTGCCCTCCACGGGCTGTGCCTCAGTTTTCACATCACCCACTTAACTTTACAAGGTACCTGTCCACTATGTGTCAGGAACTGAGGATACAATGGTGAACAACTCAACATGGTCATCCACCCCTTGGTGAAGTGTCAGTCTAGTGGGGACAGGTACAGCACTTTGCTGGAGACACTAAATGGAAGCAGCACAGAATTAACGTGGGGGAGGAGGGTCGGGGAAACTTGAGGAAGAGACGTCCATGCCGAAACCCGATCGTTAGGTTTGCCGGAGGAAGAGCGAAGAGAGCTCACCCTGGTTTTCCGGGGAAGCAAATAAAAAAACAACACGGGGAGTGCAAACAGGAACGAGGCACCCATACCTGCCCTGCACACAAAAATACCTGAGCACCTGCCTTTAAACCTCTCGGCCTATCACTTCTGTAGGAGACTGTTTCCCTCCTTGTCCATTCCCGTGGATCCCTTCTGTTATGGGCTGAATTGTGTCTCCCAAAATTCGTAAGTAGAATCCCTAACCCCCATTATCTCAGAATGCAACTGTGTTTGGAGATGGGGCCTTTAAAGAGGTGATTAGGTTAGCACCCTAATCCAGTCTGACCGATGACCTTGTAAGAAGGAAATCTGAACACAGGGCACCAGGGATGCACAGAGGAAAGACCAGGTGGGGACCCCACAAGAAGGTGGCACCCACAAACTAAGAAGAGCGGCCTTAGGGGAAACCAAACCAGCTGACACCTTGCTTTGGACGTCCCGCTTCCAGAAGGGCGAGCACACACGTTGTTTAAGCCTGCGGGTTGTCATGGCAGCTCCAGCAAGGACCACACCTTCGATCCCGCGCTCCCGCTGCTCCTTTCCAGAGGGAAGCCGCCTGACCGCCCACGCTCCCTGCTGGGTTAAGGTCTCTCGCAGTAGCTGCTCACACCCCACTCAACTTCCACTCCCTCCTCCAAGGACAGCCCTGGGCGACCACCGCGGGTGCGGCCGGTCCACGGCCGAGATCCACTCCCTCCTCCAAGGACAGCCCTGGGCGACCACCGCGGGGGCGGCCGGTCCACGGCCGAGATCCACGTCCTCCTCCAAGGACAGCCCTGGGCGACCACCGCGGGGGCGGCTGGTCCACGGCCGAGATCCACGCCCTCCTCCAAGGACAGCCCTGGGCGACCACCGCGGGGGCGGCCGGTCCACGGCCGAGATCCACGCCCTCCTCCAAGGACAGCCCTGGGCGACCACCGCGGGGGCGGCCGGTCCACGGCCGAGATCCACTCCCTCCTCCAAGGACAGCCCTGGGCGACCACCGCGGGGGCGGCCGGTCCACGGCCGAGAACAGCGAGCGCGGAGCGGCGGGCCCTCGGAGGAGCGCGGTGCGGCCGCCAGCGCGGGAACTCCGCCGAGAACGCGACCCGCGGCCCCGCCACGGTGCCCACGCTACGGGAGCGACGGCCCCACGGCGCGGCGACCGGCGGCAGGGGCTCTGCGCTCCGTGGGCCCAGCTCCAGTGAGACAGGGAAACGGGAACCGAGAGCCGGAGGCAGGCGGCGGGGCCCGAGCGGCCGGGACGAGCCGGCAGGCGGCCGCCGGGGCGCGGGTGGGATTCCAGGCCGAGGAAAGTCCGGGCTCGGCGCCGTCGCCGGGGAGCCCCCGCACGAGCCGGCAGCCCTCCGCCGACCCCCGAGGAGCCCCGGCACGCGGGGGCGACGGCGGGTCCATGCTGCTCAACCGTCGGGCGCCGGCCTCTTCTCCGGGCCGCCCCACCGCGCGCGTCCCACACGCCCTCCCGGCGCGGCGGCCACCTTACCCTCGGGCGCCGCGCTCTGACCGCCGCCTTCCCTTCACCTACCGCGCCGCCCTCAGAGCCGCTCGCGGAGCTCCGCGAGCTGCGGAAACACCGCGGCCACGCCCCCTCGGCCGTCCGGGCCCGCCCTCCGGCTTCCGGCGCGTCACGTCCGCCGGGGGCGTGGTCCTGGCGCGCAGGCGCGCGGGGCGGCTCAGAAACGAATTCAGCGCCGGGAAGCTGTGGCGGGCGGTGGCGGCAGCGCTGGGCGGGCGGCCGCGGCGATCCCACGTGCTCCCCGCAGCCGGTTGAAACCGTTGGCGACGCCGGCTGAGAGGTGAGCAGCGGTGGCTCAGAGGTCCGACCTCGGCGGCTGGGCTCAGAGAGTGAGGATGGGAGGGGCGGTGTGCTCGACGCCGGCATGTCCACCACAGGGTCCCTCCGTTGGTTTTCGCGCTCGGAAGGACATCCACCCGGATCTCATTCGTGCTCTGAGGAGGTGGAAGGAGTCCTGGGCTTAGAATGACCAGTCCTTCCCGGTTCTTGTGCCAGAGACCCTCTGTGCCCTGGCAAAGCAGAACGGCTGGTCACCGCTGGAGGCTCGCTGCAGCTTGGGACAAGGCTCTTGCCTTTGAGTCTTGGGGAGCTCGGTCCATAAAGAGGAGGCCTTAGGACATAGTGGTTGAGAGCACGGATTTAGGGCCAGAATAACAGCGTGTGCCTCCAGGGTTGCCACCAACTGGACGTGTGACCCGCTGCAAGTTACTGATCCTCTGTGCCTCAGTTTCCTTGTCCGTCCAAAGGGGATGATACAGAACCTCACTCAGAGGACTGTTGGTGAGGATTACCTGAGCACAAACGTGTTAAGCACCTATGACAGGGCTTGGCACATTGTAGGCGCTCAGTAAATGTCAGGATTTCCTGTAGCTCCTATGTCTGGGGAGACAGGTACGGGAACAAGGTGGGGTGTATTTGCAAGGCTGACTTTCCTGCAGAGGGCCCACTTGGAACTTGTACGCACAGCAGAGAGCCTGACAGGTGGTGGACTTCCACGGATAGTTACTACAGGAGTGAGGGCATGCTGTTTAAAACGATACTGGTAATGCAGTGTGTGGGGGAAGGGGGCAGGTTGGGTTCACTTCTCCCAGCCTCTGTTTGCTCATCTGTTAAGTGGAGATAGGTGTACCTGCCTTTTTGGGTTTTTGCAAAGCGCGAGGGAGAGGTCCTGTGTGAATGCACATGGAGACCTCATCACCCCCACATTTGGGGGTTTAGGTGGGATGGTGGACAGTACGCGCTTGTCTGTCCTTCCCTGGCACCGTACCCATGGTTTCTTGGAATTGCACTTCTGAAAGGGGCTTAGGGCTGGTCTAGCTGGCCCGACCCCTTGTTTCACAGCCGGGAGAACTTGAAGTTCAGCGGGTATAGTAACTAGCTTGAGGCAAGGTGTTCATGGGGATTATGCAGAGGTTGCCAGCCTGGCCTGTCAGGAGGACTCTTGGTGGTTGTGGTGGTGATGGGGTTTAGGTCTGTGTGAGAGAGAGAATGTAGAAGGAGGAAGGTAAAAAAATATAACTCCAAATCCCAATCCCAGAACTAAACCTGAGGTCATGTTATCAGGGAACAGGGTGGTAGAGTAGCACCCATGGGTTGGGGAGCCAGAGGATACAGGAGTGAATTTATGAAGATAGATGGGTAGGCCCAGCCGGTGTGGCTCGGTGGTTGAGCATCCACCCATGCACCAAGAGGTCACTGGTTTGATTCTTGGTTAGGGTACCTGCCTGGGTTTGGGGCTCCATCCCCAGCAGGGGGTGTACATGAGGCAGTCCATCAATGTTGATGTTTTTCTCATCCATGTTTCTATATTTATCTCTCCCTTTCTCTCTCTAAAATAAAAATTAAAAAAAACATTTTAAAAAAAGATAGATGGGTGGATTGAAGGTCATATTTAAAGAAGCATGGGTTTAGGTGTAACAGCATTGTGTAAATTAATAGGTCACAAGAACTTCTATCATTGGGTAAGGATGAGTCTTTCATATCTAGTATCTTATTTAACTTTCTGCACAATGCTTTAAGATTTTTATTGGTAAACAGATTCAGTAGGGTACCTTGAGGTCATTTAGTTTTAATTGGCAGATGCAGGCTCCAGCTCCTGTCAGTCCAGGCCCAGTTCAGCAGAACATGGCTACCATGTTGATAAGTTAGTTTCTCACAGTTCCCAACCCCTTACTGATGCTGTCTCTGCTCCTCAACTCAGAATCATTTTCCAACACCTGACATCCTCCACTGTGACACAGGTGGTTTTGTTCCGAGTGGACTGGCCTTAGAATTAAGACCAGTAGGACCCTCATATTTTAAAATGGAAGGTCATTTGTAGAGCCTTTGAGTCTTTTGGATGAGGGTCTGAAGATCCCAGATGCCAAGTAATGGCCAAGGACGTGACAAGTCAAGATGGAGGCGGGCAGCAGCTCAGGCTGCCCCTGCCATGTAGTGTGCCTCCACGGAGGTCACTTAACCATGCTGAGTCTGGGTGGTGTGTGATCTTACCTCTTCTGGAGGTGTTGGTGCAGTTGTGATCATAAATGGGAAGTGGCTTTGTAGAGAGCTAATGGTCGTGTTCTGTCATGCATCACCCTGGTGCGTGATGAGAACTTAGTAAATTGACCAGACAAATGAATAGACAGTCAGAAGCTCACACAGAGGACCTGGTCTTTGGGGGAGGGCATGTATGGATCCCAGTGCACACTTGGCATTCAGTACCTACCTGTCTGCTGAATTGAATCATAGTGACTTATCTGGGGCAAGAACACGTGTGTGCTCCCAACCAGTCTACCAATATTGCTTTCTGCTTGCCTTTCTGTTTTACATGCCCACATCTCTAGAAGGAAGAACACATGGAATCTCTGTGGCAGGGCTGGGACCCAGCCTTGGGCACAGAGAGTGAGGAGCCAAGGAAGGAGAAGGGGACTCTGATTTAGGTTCAGCCCAGTAAGGAGTGCCATTGTTTTACACTTGTATGACATCCGAGCCCAGCAGACGGTGTCCCGAAAGTCTCCATGCAGCATGCTTTCAGCTTCCCTATGTCCGTTACAGATTTACTGAAAGATCACTTGAAAGTTTAATTAAGTTTCTTTCACATTATTTAATCTTGTGAAATTTTAATAAGTTTAATTTTGTGTTTTAGGCAGTGCTTGCCATGTTCAGTTGGGGCACTGACTTTTCACATGGTGTGTTTTTGTAAGTTCGCCACATTCGCACTTCTAAATTGTTAGGCCTGCGCTGAGACTTGGGGCATCTGTCTGCTGTGCTGTTCTTTGTAGCCCACCCCCAGACAGACAGACAGACACACACACACAGGTGTTTCCTGCGTAAATGACAAGTGTCTCTCCAGGGGGCTAGGTCTGGTATGAGGCCTGATGAAGGTGACCCTCGGCTGGTGCTGAGATGTCCCCTGGGCTCTGAATAAGTGAGCGGTAAGCTCCTCACAGGCCTCATTTATCTTGTTAGCAAGCAGGCGGCCACACTGTTCCCATTTCAGACCAAGAGTAAAAATGCAACGAAGGCTCTAAAAATCCTGAGAAAGGCCCTAAGAAATTGAGTTCTGCCTCACTGTGCAAGCTACCATACTGCTGGTGAAAGAAATGCACAGATTTCTAATGGGAACATTTGCCGGACAAGACTGAAGGAGAGGGTTGGAGGTATTTTTCCGGCGGACGCATGATTAAATTCTAATATTCTCCTGAACTGATGTTTACACTGTGTGTGGCTAATCCCCAGAGGGATGACGTTGTGCACAGATATTTCCAGCATCTTTTTTGTCAACATTACTGCTGCTTTCAGTCCATATGTTTTGTTTCCACCTGTCCCCAGGCTTTTAATGCTGACCTTCCCTGATGACAGACTGAGCCTCCCAATGGGATCTCAAACCTTGCTGAAGCCTCCTCCGCTCCCTCTTCCCCCTCAATCAGAAAACAGAATAGACCTCGACAAGGAAGGCCAGAAAGATCATGGCCATAGCTTCACTCTGAGGGGGTATTTTCATTGTTGAATTTCGTTATGAAAGTACTTGTACCATTTTCAGCAGATGAATGGCTTATCGCAGCTGCTTCTACCTTGTGTGTATAATGGCCATCTATTTCTTGGTTGACGAGTTAATGGTTAAGTGCCCCTACAGGGTATATATTTGATAATGCAGTGCTGCCTCTTGTTCCAGCCTTTGTTCTCCCTCAGAGGTAGGGCGGCCACTGTCCTTGTTGCCTGTCATTAACTGAGCATCCATCTGCCATGTGCAGAATGCTGAGCTAGGAGGGAGCTGGGTCACAGCTCCCCAGGACTCGCGACTGCTCCACACGTCTTCACCTTAACCAGCTGAGAGGACGGACGGTGTGGTTGCTGCACATTCCAGAACAAACGCCCTGTGGCTTTCCTCTGGATTCAGTGCAAGGCTAGCTAACCACACGCCCTCCCTTGCTCACCGGTCCGGGTGGCGACCTGAGAGGGGCCCCGGGGCCAGGGTCTGCATTGGTACAGAGCCTGTCAGGCAAGCTGATGCCTGGCAGTGCCCTGAAGAGCCAGGGGCCATCGAGAGAAATCATCTGGGCGCTTGTGAACCCTGGAGCTGCAGCCAGGATGTACATTTCCATTCAAGGCTGAATGGGCGGGAGCAGCCCTCATCTCTGCTCACGTGTGACCCTTGCAGCAATGACCCAGCACGGAAAGTTACCGTGGCTTGTCTCACTTTTAGATGGATTTGTTTTTTGTTTGTTTGTTTAGCAGAGTAGCAGCTCTATGAATTTTTAAATGGTTATGTGTCTGTGCAGATGTACGTCATGTTGACAAAGTGCTGGGGACACCTGGGTCTGTGACTGAACCCTCCGGTAATTCAGCTCCCAGCGGTTAGCACAGCTGCAGTGGTTCCATTTCTTCATTGATCCGACAAGAAGCCACAGGATGGAGGCCCCTCACCTATCCCTTGTCTACTAAGCCCGAGAGCACATCCATTTATATAAACACACACACATTTTAAAATATGTTTTTGTCAATTTTTTAGGGAGAGAGAGAAACATTGATGTGAGAGAGACACATTGATCGGCTGCCTCCTGCACGCCCCTTACTGGGGATCGAGCCCAAAACCCAGGCATGTGCCGCGACCGGGAATAGAACCAGGACTCGAACTGGGACTTGAACTGGGACCTCTCAGTCCCTGGGATGACCCTCAATCCACTGAGCCACACCGGCCAGGCCACATCCTCCTATATTAACACCTGAGGATACATATTAATGCCTATATGAATGTTTTGTGTGCTTATAGAAATTGTTTATAGGCCTCCTTTCTACTTTCTAAACCTTCCTCAATTCCCCCCCTCATTATGCTCTTACTGTATTTGGGGACCTGAGATAATTTGCAATGCACACCTAAGGATGAGAGAGGGAGGGGGTGGGATGGAGAGAGAGAGATAGAAAGTTATTAGCAAATATAAGATGTTTTACTTAATGCCCCCAAAACTCCTCCTCTTTAGAGCCAGCCTGCCAAGTTTAAATCCTAGTTCTGCTACTGTGTGACCTTGGGCAAGTTACTTAATCTCTCTGTGCTTCAGTGCCTCATGTAAATTGTGAACAGTAGTCTTTCCTTCATAGGGTTGCTGTGAGGATGAAATAAAGTGATATGTGTAAAGCTGGTAGAGGGCCCAGCACATGGTAAGCACTCACTCAACAAATGTACATTAGTGTCATTGTTAATTATAAGTTTGCTTACATGGTGGTAGAGTTGTGTGTAAATTGCTAATCAGCTTTGATTCTCTTTTTTTTTTTTCTCGAAAATGTGGTTGTGTTTTAGAAGATATTGCTTGTTCATTTTTTTTTTTAATGTTTTTTTTTTATAGACTTGAGAGAAAGGGAGGGAGAGAAATATCAATTGGCTGCCTCCTGCACGCCCCCACTGGTGATCAAGCGGGCAACCCCAGTGTGTGCCCTGACTGAGAATTGAACCTGTGACCTCTCTGCATGGGATGATGCTCAACCGAGCCACACCAGGCTGATTCTCTTGTTCGTAGTTATTTTCATGTGAAATTATGGTTGAAAGGTTAGCTGTATGATTGTTTATTGAGAATAAAAGTTTCAGATTACAATGATAATATCTTTTTTCCTTTATTTTTAATTTTTTTAGGACAAGACTTCGAGCCTATCTTGGATAGAGAATATTTAATCATTTAGCTAAAATGGTATTTTTTACATGCAATGCATGCGGTGAATCAGTGAAGAAGGTACAGGTGGAAAAGCATGTGTCTATCTGCAGGAACTGTGCATGCCTTTCCTGCATTGACTGCGGTAAAGATTTCTGGTAAGTTTCAAATAATTCATGTAGATCCATAGTAAAAGTCCAGAACAGTTTTGGAAGCACTGTTTCCACAGAGCTTTAAAAAATAGAGGCAAATTGGCCCTGGCCGGTGTGGCTCAGCGGTTAGAGCGTTGGTTTGCGGTCCAGAGAGACCCGGGTTCTGCTCCCGCTAGGGGCATGTACTTCGGTTGCAGTTTGTCCCCGGCCCTGGTTGGGTCGTGTGGGTGGCAACCTCTCGATGTGTCCCTTCACATCGATGTTTCTCTCTCTCTCTCCCCCTCCCACTCTATCTGAATAAAATATCAAAAAAAAAAAAAAATCAATAAAAAATAGAGGCAAATTGGAGTAAAGACATTATGAAAAAAATTAAAAGTGGTTTACAAGACTGTTTGCCATGTATGGACGACTTAAAAAGGACCCTGAAGGAAGAGGATTGTGGTGATTGGAGCATTTGATCAGTCAGTGGCACTTGCTGTCACCTTGTCACCACCATTCCCAGACCCTGTGAAGGGACCACTGGAGTATGATTCGGGTGTGGTGCCGATCACAGTGAAGAGTGGGCTTATAAACCAGAAAACAAGTGCACAGTCTGAGAGGGGAGCCTAGGTCCTTCCAGGGAATCAGTGATGCTGGGGTGAAGCTCCTGCTCCCAGAGTGTGTCAGACACTTCTGTGGGGGGGAGGGGGTGTCTGGAAAGGTGAGGACCTGGGGGAGGGGCAGGACAGGCCTGGAGTGCCCCTCACTGCATCTCCCCTTCAGCCTTCAGGCACCAGTAAAAGGCGGCTTTGGTCCACGTGCCCGCTGTCTTCTGTGGCATTCGGGTGATTTTTGCTAACAGTCTGTCTTAATTTTCTAGAGCAGTCCTATTTAAGAACTTTTTTGGAAACTGCTAATGTCTTTGGCCCACACATTTTCTTGAGGGCCCCATCAAATTTCAGAAAGCTAGTATGAGACAGAATTGAGTTTTCTTTTTTCCAAGACTCTGAGATCCAGAATTTTTTAGTGACCTGATAAATACCATTTTTTTTTATTTTATTTTTATTGAGGTATAATTGACATACATTATATTAGTTTAAAGTGTACAACATTATGATTCACTGTTTGTATTGTAAAATGATCGCAATAAAGTCTGGTTAACATCCGTCCCCATACAGAGTTACAAAAAAAAGTTTATTTTAATTGAATTTTTTGAGAGAGGAAGGGAGAGAGAGAGAAACATTCTTGTGAGAGAAATATTGATTGGTTGCCTTCCACACATGTCCTGACCAGGGATCAAACCCATGAACTGAGTATGTGTCCTGACTGGGATTCAAACCCAGCACCTTTTGCTGCACAGGACAATGCTACGACCAACTGAGCCACAAAGGCCAGGGAAAAATGTTTTTTCTTGTGATGAGGACTTGAAGATCTGCCCCTTAGTCACTTTCAGATATGCAGCACAGTATCAGTAACTCGTCGTCATGCTGTACATCAACCATCGTAACTTTTTAATTCGATTTAATTTTTTATTATTTATTTTTATTGAGATATATTGATATATCACATTGTATTAGTTCTGGTACCACGATTTTACACCAGCTTTTAACTGACTCTACAACTGATTATTGACTGCCTGCTATGTCCCAAGGAATCTGACAGAGCGATGAGATAAAGCCACCTACTGCAGAGAATTAATTTATTCAGTATATGGTCAGGTTAAAAATACTGCTTCTCAGGTTGGTTTGAGGCATTTGGATATAAAAATGGGCGGAAAGTTTAGTGGTGGGTTTTGTACTGGACAGTGTGGAGGAAAGAAATGGCGGTCATGCAGCAGGTTGCACAGGAGATGGACTAGCTGGGATGCTTGTGCAGTGGGCAGGTGTGACATGAAGTCGCGTGGACCCCGGAGGGGAGTAGCATGCTAACATTAGACAGCCTGCAGTCTGAGAATCCATCTGATGTGGAACCTTCATCACTTCTCAGGGGTGAGGACTATAAAAACCATGTGAAATGCATAAGTGAAGACCAGAAGTATGGTGGCAAAGGCTATGAAGGTAAAGCCCACAAAGGCGACATTAAACAGCAGGCGTGGATTCAGGTACGGTCGGATTCATCTAATAGCTTCATCTGACATCTTCCGCTTTTCTTTGGCAGTCTAAGACAATGAGGATAAATGCATCGTCAATGCAGATAAGACCCAGAAATAGCATGTCTTAGGATAGACTAAGGTTGAGCAACTAAACCTTGAAAAAGAATTCTTTATTTCTATTAATAATTGCAGTGTATTTTGTCTTTAATCCATATGTTTTATAGATTTCTTGCAAAAATATTTCAGAATTCTCACTAGCTTTCTCTTGGCTATGAAGCTTTCTTCTCTGTATTTGCGTCCAGTGATAACACAGCTTTTATAACTCAGACCATGTTAATCCATCATATCTGTTGATCACCAGAATTGGGCAAAATAGACAATTTCATAAATATGAGGAATTTTCTACTTAAATAAAATGAAAATATGTATAATAAAAATGACAAAGCAACAAGATCCCTAACTCACTGAGAGGTGGAACTCCCAGAAAGTTGCTCACCATGTACAGAATAGATACAGGAGGAAAGGTTCAGAAAGGAAGGTAAGAGAATGAAGAGACAAATGTCATCTCTGGAAATTCTCTTTCCTAGAAGCCAAATAAATAATAGTTTCTTCCTCCATGATAGAGTTTAAACGTGAATTTTCTGATATTGACCAGCTTACTGACTTACAAACTCCTGGGAAGGAAAATCTGTTCATGAAGGACTAATGCAGTTTGCTTAGTGAAGATTGAGAAGCTCGTGAAACTCCCTAACCTAAGATATTTAGGCTGGCGACCATCAAGCCACACTTTTGGGTACTAAATCTGTAATCCCCCACTCCAGGGAACATGACATTCCTAGGCCCCCAGGCTTGAGGAACCTGTGTGCGTGAGCTCCATCCTTGTTGTCATCACATCATGAGTTTCAGGTAAAGCAGGAGCCAGCACACTGTGACCCAGTGGGACAAAGCCAGGCCCATTTGTTTACATGCTGTCTGTGGCCACATTCATGTAAGCATGGCGTCGAGCAGTTAGGATAGAAGCTGGATGATCTGCAAAGCCTAAAATCTATACTGTGGCCCCTTAACAGAAAAGGGCTCACTGGTGACCATCTTCTTTGTGTATTATCATTTCTCTAACTTAAGTAAGTACCTTTTTTCTCTGCCTTCACTGTGACTGCCATAGCACTTTCTCTTGGACATGAATTTAATTTTCATCTCTGTTCTGTTCTTGTTAATGTTCAAATTTATTAGATCTTAATGATTTTGTCTTGGTCCTCAATTTATTTCCTAGTCCTTTTTGCCTGTATTTTGTATTCATTTTGTCTGATCAATTTGATCACTTTTGGTTTTCTCTAGTTTTTAAAAGTTGTGAATTATACATGATACAGAGTTAAGCATTTTAATCATTTTTTAAGTCTTCAATTAAGTACATTCTCTGTTTGTTGTTCTTTAAGTTTATTCACCATTTCTTGTCCTTTCCCAGTTGACACCCTCATCAAAAATCATTTAACCATAAATGCAAGGGTTTTTTTATGGGCTCTTTGTTCTGTTGGTCTGTATGTATGTCTTTACACCAGTTCCATACTGTTCTGATTACTCTAGCTTTGAAATCAAAGGTGAGACCTCTAACTTTGTTCTTTTTCAAGATTGTTTTGGCTATTTGAGAATCCATGTGAATATTAGGATAGAGTCTTCTATTTCTGCATGTGCGCATGCGCGCGCGCGCACACACACACGCGCACACACACACACACACACACACACAGTTTGATGTTGACAAGGATTGCATTTGAATCTGTGGATCACTCGGGTAGTATTGCCATCTTAAGTCTTCCCATCCATGAACATATCTCTTTATTTGTGTCTAATTTCTTTCAGTAGTTTTAAGTAGGTAAGTCTTTCATAAACTCCTGGGTTAAGTTTATGCCTCAGTAGTTTATTTTTTTCATGCTATTGTAAATGGAATTGTTTTCTTAATTTCCTTTTCAGATTGTTAGTTTGTAGAAATGCAACTTGATTTTTTTAGTGCAATTCTGCAACTCTGCTGAATTTGTTTATTGGTTCTAAAGGTTCTTTTTGTGGAATCTTTAGGTTGTTCAACATATAAGACTAAGACCAGGTTAGCTATGAACAGAGATAATTTTACTTCTTTTTTTCCTATTTGGATGCCTTTTTTAATTTATTTTTTTTCTCACTTAATTACTCTGGCTAAGACTTCCAGTACTGTTTTGAATTTGTAAGCATAGACATTAACCCAAAATCTGGACTTGAGATGTGAACTCTGGAGCTCTGGCTACATGAAATACATGTGTCAGTTGTTTATTGTTCTTGTCTTTTCTTCCTTCTTTGTAGAAAATTAATGAATTAATTAAAAAACCCAATGTCAGCCCCAAAGTGAGAGAACTTTTAGAGCAAATTAGTGGTTTTGACAACATTCCTAGAAAAAAGGCAAAGTTTCAGGTATGTATTTGATACGACTTCCCTAACTGAGGGGATGTGGGCCCATCGGTGACAGCTTGTGCAGACCTGTCAAATGGGATGTATTTTTTTTCCCTTCTTTTTGTCCTTATAGAATTGGATGAAGAACAGTTTAAAAGTTCATAATGAATCGATTCTGGAGCAAGTGTGGAATATCTTTTCTGAAGCTTCCAGCAATGTAAGTCAGATCTAATTTTAGATTCGTAGTGTGGCAAAAATGACGAGTAATAATGTGATGGGAATGTCTTATTTTTGGAGGTCAAGACAGCCTTCTTTTTCAGAGAGCCTCTTTGGGCCTTCATTTATGGGAAGGAATAAACTGAATGCCTTGCAGAGAAGAGTCCCCTATTGTGCACAGAAAGGTATTTAATCCCAATGTTTGATAATGGTAGCAGCTAACATGGAATGATTTGCTTAGAAATCAGGCAGTGGGGCATATCGGAAAGAACAGGAGCTTTGGGTATCTGACAGACCTGTATTGAATCCCTGCTGCTCTCTGCCAAATGTCTGATCTTGAGCACGTTATTTAAGCTCTCTGATCCTGTTTCCTTTTATTTAAAAAGTAGATCTTCATGTTCATTCATTCATTCATTCTGTGCTTACTGAGTGCCTGATCTGTGAACAAAACTATAAATGTCTCTGGTGGTGACAGTGCCATGAAGGAAGATAAACAGGTGAGGCACAGAGATTGACTAGGTGGCCTTTTAGGTAAGGGGAGAGGGGTCTCAAGGGCTCCTTACATGCTGTAGTTTTAAAATAGAGGAGACTACAAATGTATCCCACTTATGCCCCGCTTTTAGTGGGCACTTGAAAAGTGTTGTCTCTTTCCTTCCGGTGGAGGGAGAATTCCACTGGGTTAATTCGGTCAACTGCCTGTCAGTCAAAAAGGCTTGCTAGAGAGTTCCCAGATGTGGATACACTTGTAGAGAGTTTTGGTTTGATATTGTGTAGCCACATTGTTGGTTACATTGTTAGTATGATTTTTTTTACATTAATTCAGTTGTGCTTTCTTCCTGTTTGGAGCTTACATGCCATTCGGAGACTTACATCATTATTAGTTCGTGTACGTATTTTTCAATCCGGAAAGCTTCCTGGATTTGCATGTCATCCTTGCACAGGGACCATGCCAACCTCTGGATCATTCCAGTTTTACTGTATGTGCTGCCAAAACCAGCACATCACTAGTGCTTTTTTATTTATTTATTTTTTAAATATGTTTTTATTGATTTTTTTAGAGAGAGTAAGGGAAAGAGAAAAACATCGATGTGAGAAACATCGATTGGCTGCCTCCTACATACTCCCTACTGGGGATTCCCTGAAACCCAGGATGTGCCCTGACCAGGAATCAAATCCGTGGGACAATGATCGATCCACTGAGCCACACCGGCCGGGCCATTAGTACTTTTTAAAAAATGCAGTGGGTCTGGCTAGTCTTTTATTCTGGTCACGTTGTCAGGAGTTGATTTGTTTATATAGAGAGAATAGTTTGAGCAGCAAATTGAGATAAAAATGAAACTTTAGCCCTGGCCAATTAGGCTCAGTGGTTAGAACGTCGGCCTGCGGACCAGAGGGTTCAGGGTTCGGTTCCCGCTAAGGGCACGTACCTCGGTTGTAGTTTGTCCCCGGCCCCGGTCAGTGTCGTGTGGGTGGTGACCAGTTGATGTGTCTCTCTCTCTCTCTCTCTCTTCCCCCCTCCCTCCCTCCCCTCTATCTGAAGATACATGCAAAAAAATGTCCTCAGGTGAGGATTAAAAAAAAAATGAAACTTTATCTTGGTAGCATATTTAGCATTTGTCTTAAAATATACAAATTGGGCCTTTGAAACCTTATAATCAATCATTTAATAGGCCTTTATGTGGCACCTTTTCTTTTTTTTTAAAGCTGCAGGGTTTTTTTTGTTTGTATTGATTTTTAGAGGGAGAGAGAGATAGAAACATCAATGAGAGAGAACATCAATTGGCTACCTACTGTATGTTCCCCATTGAAGATTGGGCCCACAACCTGGGTATTTGCCCTGACCAGGAATTGAACCAGTGACCTCTTAGTGCATGGTTTGACACTCAACCACTGAACCATATGGGCTGGGTGTGGCACCTGTTTTTTGAAGGTTATTTCCATTATTTTTACTAAGCATCAAAGATTTAAAAGGACTTAGGTCAACTGCAGTTTAAAATAATGTTCTTTCCGATTTCCCATATGAAGCCGTGAACATATTGGGAATTAAATAAAGTAATCCATAAACAGCTTGTGGTGTGCTCTGAACTTGTTGCTTTGCCTTTGCCCTGTGAACTTAGCACATCACCGTGTTTGGTGCAAAGCTAGGGGTCCTGAGGCCGTTTGTTCATGCTCCCAGTTTTATCCCTCTCTTTAAGCTGTGCTGGCTTTAGGTTGGCAGCTTTCTCTCCTCTACTGTGATACTTTCTATACCCAGCACAACTTGCACCTGGTCACTGGACACAGCTGTAATCAGGCCAAATCCTGCCCTTGTGCTGCTGTATTCCAGTGGGGGAGACACACAACTACATGTGTGGCTTTGTGCTATAATATCAGGTCGTGATGAGCGCTAGGCAGAAATAGAAGGCAGGAGGAGGGGCGGAGAGCAAAGGAGGGTGCTCTGTCACATGAGAGTCAGTGAAGGCAGTGCTGAGGAGACCACAGTGGAGGAGATGGGGAATGGTTTGACCAGTCACTGTTGAGTGGCTGCTAGGTGGGTGGAAGTGTGTGTCCTGCCTCCCTCCCTCCCTCCCTCCCTCCCTCCTTCCCCTCTGTGAGTTTGGATGTGGAGGCAAGGCACCAACTAGAGACCTGGTCTGAATTGGGCAGATGTCAGGCTGAGGTCTTTGACCCTTGGTGGTTATTATAATAACCAATACACAATATGAACAAAATTGTAGGATAGATGGGAAGCTTCTCTGTCCCTTCCTCCTCCTGAATTCGTTTCTGAACTCATTCTCTGTCCCTCATGTGCCCAGACTGCTTTATTTCTCTGAACTGCTACTGAGAAAACTGATTTAGTTAACATTCTTTTCCAAAATGCTGCTCTTTCTGCCAGAGGTTGAGCATTGATGTCAGAGTGAGTCGCGACTTTGTACTGTTCTTGTACTTGAGTTAAAGCCAGTCCTTCTTTATTTGGTCCAACTTAGGGGGTAGTAACTCCCTTCTTGTGACCTACTCTCTGTAAGGTTAAGACTGGAGGCGACTTGTCTGAGTCATCTGGCTGGTGACATACATAGATGGAACTTGGGCCAGATCTGTGGACGCATAAATCCAGTGATTTCCCAGAGCTGCTGCCACTGGTCCTGTCCCTGCCCGCAGGGACCTCCAGGCTCATGGCAGTGCAGTAGATGGCTCTGCACCAGCTCGTGAGCAGGGCTGGTATAGAGATTTCCGCACAGTTTGAGTCAGGGTACAGCAGGCAATGGGACTAACTGTGCTGAAGTCATTTTTAAAAATAGGATCCACCCTGGCCGGTTTGGCTCAGTGGATAGAGTGCTGGCTTGTGCACCAAAGTGTCTTGGTTCGATTCCATCCAGTCAAGGGCATGTACTTGGGTAGCAGGTTTGATCCCTGGTCTTGGTCGGGGTCATGTGGGAGGCAATCAATCGACATGTCTCTCTCACATCAATGTTTCTATCTCTCTATCCCTCCCCTCCACTCTATCTAAAAATCAATAGAAAAATATCCTCAGGTGAGGATTGAAAAATAAATAGATAAAAATGGGATCCATGTGCTGATTTGAATAAATACTGTAAGTGGGACGTTCGTCTTACCCCAGTGCCCGCAGTTAGTTCCGCCATTGTCCTCTCTGTCCAGGTGTCCCTGATTTCCTCTCGGGAGCCAGCTAATCTGAATGACGACCAGATTCTGTCTCTGTCTAGTACGTGGTCCTTCACAAAGCCCTCACATATGTTGGGCCAGTGCATTGATCGTCCCCTTTGCTGAGCTCACGATATTTCTTTTCTCATTTTCTTACATCAACTGTATGATGAAGGGATCACTGCCTTTCGTTTTACAGACAAGGAGTCAGGTTTGGAACAGATAAATAACTTGCCCTGAGCCACCTGGCTAGTACTGACAGAGCTGGAGCTTGAACCCAGGTTGCAGATACAGTACATAAATCTGCTAGTTTCTGCCACACACGAGTGCTTGCCTTTACTGGAAAGAAAGGTAAATAGTGAGGCAAAATCAAAGGTCTGACTGAAGCGACTTAAGGGTGCTTCACTTTCTCAGTGCAACGAGAATGTCTGTTAGATGCAGAGAGTGGTGTGGGCTGGGGGAGTTCTTGTTTGGTGTATTTACTGCTACTTTTTAACTATTTGGGGCTCACAGTTCTAAAATGGTAAGTAATAAAGACATTTCAGTTGATCACTCAGTGAACGAACAGGTGTGTGTGGAGTAAATACTTAGGTGTTTCTTGGTTTTGCTTAATAATAAGGAACCAGTCAGTGAAGGGCAGGATCAACAGCCACTCAACCAAGTGGCAAAGCCACCTGCAGAAATCTCCACCAAGGTGGTGCCTTCCAAAGCAAGTGACACCACGAAAGGACAAGCAGAGGCAAAGAAGAATAAGAGAGAAAGGAAGGAAGAGCGGCAGAAGAATAGGAAAAAGGAAAAGAAAGAACTAAAATTAGAAAACCACCATGAGAAATCAAAGAGTCAGAAGCCTAAAAAGCAGAAAATGAGACCGGAAGCAGAGCCGGAGGCTGGAGGGGAGGATGCCACCAGCTCCGCAGGGAACAAGAGGCAGAGGAAGAGGAAGGGCCAGCATCTGGAGGACGGGGGTGTGGACGGAGATGCGGACAAGGGAAAGACAAACACTGGTCCAGGAAAAAGGAAGCGGAAGCTTTCCGAAGGTGTGTGTCCAGGTTTGTTAACACTTTCTAATGCTGTGGATTTGAGATATATAAACTCTCCCAGATCTTGGACTTTGAAGCATGTAAGTCAAAGAGCGTAAGACGTGAGGCAAGTGACCTCTCAGCTCCCCGTTCCCCCCTGACCTGGAGGAGAAACTGCATGTGCTGGGTTGCGTGGGATGGATGGAAGGGGCCTGCCCGTGGGAGACATAAGTGTAGCTGATGCCATTTATGCAAAATCTCTTTTTTTAAAAATCTCTATTTAGTTGAAGTATATTCTAAGAAGAAAAAGATAAAGTTCCCAGGACATGCTGAGGGCAGAGAACCAGGAAACCACGAAACTCCTGCAAAAGGTATCACTTCCACCATTTGGAAAGCTCTGCCCTCTTTGGGCTGGGGGAGGAGGTGAACCAGGGCCTCCTGGCAGGCCAGACCTTCCAGAGGCTTGTGGAAGAATTTGAAAGCAAAGTAAGTTCTTCAGGTGTGACTCCACAGTAATCCATGAAAAATGTGAGTCACTCTTACAGTGTCTCTGTCTTGCTTTAAGGATAAAGGGGAAAGCAGTCTGGATTGGAAATATATATTATCTCTGGAATTTAAAATAAACCCAGCATGCTTTCCCAGACTTAGTTGCTTCCTTTCTTCCAGCCAGACCTCTTTTCTCTGTCCCTGATGTCCTTGTTCGAACTGCATGGCCACCTCTCTCCCTCAGCTAGAATGTGTACTTGTCAGCATCCAATCCCTGGCCATTAAGGTTCTTTCAGTGCTGCCTCCTCCACAAAGCTCCTCCTCTTACTCAGCTCCGTCTTGCTTACTGTGCTTAGACAGCCCCATGATCTTAGTGATCTTGATGAATTTTGCTGAGGTCATTCAGTGCAACTCTGTCTTTACAGGAATGAGCAGTAGTGATGGTGTTTATGATAGTCAGTTAACCTGCTCACTCTGAGAACAAGGACGGTGCAAGGTAGCTGGTGCTTCTAAGGCGCTGTCACTGGACAGGTCACGCCTGCTACACAGTAGTAGGGCACCCTGCCCATTCAGGATTCGTTCATTTTCTGGGTGGCAAAAAGATGTCACAAAAATCTTTTCTCTTACGATAGTACAACAAAACTAATGGTTTACACGTTATTCTTTATATTGTAGGTAAATTCAATTGGAAGGGAACTATTAAAGCAATCCTGAAGCAGGCCCCAGACAATGAAGTAGCATTCAAAAAGCTAAGGAAAAAGGTATGGCGCAGGGACCTGGTGACATAAACTAAGGAGAATTGGTCATGTTAAAATGTACAGTTTCTAAAAAGTACCTAAAGTATTACAAACGTGTGTGTGTGTGTGTGTGTGTGTGTGTCAGTGACTTCCACATTGCTCTGGTGACCCTCTGGGCTCGCTGGGGCTGGGGCCGACTCCCATCACTCTTCGGCCAAAGCAGTGCTCGCGTGATTTGAGGCTGTGCAGGACAGTGTGCTGTCCTTTCGTCACTCCAGAGCAATGGTTTCTTCTCTTTCTCTTTGGTAACTTTTGCTGACGTAGGACCCGGGTGCAGCCAGGTGCTCAGACACGTGCCACTGCACGGATTTCCACGAGCAGAACACCTGTGTGACCAGCACCTGGTTTTTTTGATTTCTCATTGTTGCCCCACTTCTGGGTTAAGGAAAGACCATTTCAGGTAAATTTCAGGACAGTTACCCATACTTGACAGCCATTGTTCTTTGTGCAGGTTTTAGCTCAGTATTACGCTGTGACCGAGGACCACCACCGGTCTGAAGAGGAGCTCCTGGTCATCTTCAACAAGAAAGTCAGCAAGAACCCCGCCTTTAAGTTACTAAAGGACAAGGTCAAACTTCTGAAATGAACATTTTTATATTTATAAATTGAGTCCATTCTATTGATTTCTTTCATTGCTGTTTGTAAAACATGTAATGAATAACAACTCAAATTTTGCTTTCCTATAAGAAAAAAATATATTTTTGGTACACCTTTTATGAGAAAATAAACTATATTGTCCTGAATCCTCCAGTAGCCTCAGTGCCTGGATTTCTTCAGTTTTACCCTCTTGTCCTTGAAACCATCTCTGTCACAAGGACGAAGGAGACACTGCTAGAGTGCCTACCCTGGGCACGCTCTGTGCTGTCTTTAGGGAGAGCACAAACCACCTTAAGGCAAGCCAGTAAAATGTCACGGAGGTGTGTGGTGGTCGTGAGCACCCAGGGAGGGAGGCATTCCACCTGGGGTGGGGATGGAGGGCATGAGGTTAAAGGTATTTCTTACCTACTTGCTGTGTTGAGGTGTCTTTCTCTTCCTCCTGCCACCCCACCCACGTGGGAGGCAGTGGGACGTGACAGGCTCTGAACAGGGCTCCACATACAAGGAGACTTGACATGGAACCTGACTTTGTGTCTTCTTAGCCAAGGGCCTCTCTTGGGCAGGCTATGTCACCTCCCCTATCTCGGGGGTTTTTCTGTTATACTGACTTCCTAAAGTGAGAGGGTGAAATTCAAATAAGGTGCCTGGCACAGCCCTGTCCGGTTTGGTTCAGTGGTTAGAGCGTCGACCCGAGGACCAGAGAGTCAGAGCTTTGATTCCAGTCAAGGGCACGTACCTCGGTTGCGGGTCAGTCCCCAGCCCTGGTCATGGTCGAGCGGGAGGCAACCAATCAGTGTATCTCTCTCACATCGATGTCTCTCTCCCTCTCCCCCTCCCTTCCTCCCTCCCCTCTGACTGAAGATAAATAGAAAAAGTATCTTCGGGGGAGGATTTAGAAAAAAACAAGGTACCTGGCACATAGGAGGTGTTTGAAGTGTTTCCTCTTCACGTAATGACGTGCACAGACCTCGGTGTTTACATGGACGGTCTAAGGCACTGGCTGTGGGAGAGGCCCATCCCCCAGACATGTTGCTTTTCTGGCACTCGGCTCTCTAAGCACCTGGGCGCAGCCGGAAGACCCACAGCGACCAACTGGGCAGGCAGTGTGGCAGCATGTTGGTGAAGACATCCACTTCAGTTCTGAGGGGACACTCTAGCTAATGTAGTAGCATTTTTCAGGACGCAGACGTAGTCACACAGGTCATTTTTTTAATGTGAACTTTCTATCGAAATACACATCTAGACACGTGTAAAAACCTAAGTGGACAATTCAGAAAGTGCACGTGCCTGTGCCAGACCTAAGACGTGGACTGTTTACAGCCCAGCAGCAGCCATGTCCTTATCAGCATGAGCTGGTTTTCCCTGGTGGTGAACATGATGTAAATGGAATCATAGGGCCCTTTTGTCTGGCTTCCTCCTCGACATTTCCTGAGATTCATCCACGTTGCTTTGCTGCTGTCTTTATAGTGTACAGTATGTATCCATTCTACTGTTGATGAGATGCTGGGCTGTTTCTAGGGTGGCTGGGTTGCTGATGAAATCTACGTCTCCTGGTGCCTGTGTACACTCATTTCTGCTGAAGCACACCTAGGAGTGGAACTGCTGAGTCATTAGGTATATTTCAGCTTTGACAGACACAGCCCCTCGGTTTCCCAGAGTGCTTTTACCTGCTTACACTGCTGCCCTCCGTGTATGGAGTTCATTTTGCCCCAAAATGCACTAAAATTTAATATTGCTCACATTTCCATCTCTGCATCTCTCTTCTCAGGATGGTTGTTTTTCGAAGCTGTCAAGTAAAATCACCGGGGCTTATCACTAGGTTATAAAACTGCAGAATGGTATCTCCAGATTGGGAGGAGGGTGTCAAGGGGGGGAAAAGGAGAAACATCTGTAACAAAAATAAATCATAAAAACAATTTTTTTAAAAAAAGGTATCTCCAGGTTTCACAGCAGATTTCAGTCTTGAGTGAGGCTAAAAACAAATCAGAATAGCAGTTTCCCCCCAGCTTAACAATCAGTGTCTTCTTAGATACTCTACCACTGTCCTTTAACATTTGAAGGAGCTCAGGGTCTGCTCAGCTCACATTGGATTTTTAAACTCCTGCGATCTGGGCTTGGAGCGTCCTGTGTTGGTTACAAAACGGAGGGTTCCTGAGACACAGCCGGGTACACTGGTGACAGCAGCTGCTTTGCTTTCAGTGCAGAGACTACTGGAGCTTTTTTGCTATGTGATCCCGGGAAGCTTGGATTTGTTCACTTTGATACAGGTGATTAAACCGCCCCTCTGCCAGTTTGCATTGTAATCCTGAGTAAACACATGTTGCAGTGGAGAGGTCAGACACTGCTGGGAAGGTAGGGCCTTTGGCCACAGAACGGTACTGTGAGCTGCAGAAATCCTACCTTCGCTGCTCTGCCCGCCTGGTGACCCAGGCCGTCGGAGGCCGGTGGCAGTCCGTAGATGGGATTTCTCTACTGTAGATCAAAGGTAGGTAGAGACTGAGTTCTCCCGGGCACTGCGCAGCAGCACTGCTCCTGGGACCTGCCAGCAAGTCTGCATCCGGTACTAGTGGTCACCTGAGAGGACAGCCCTGCCCCAACCAAGGGCGTCCCGAACCGAGTGTTCTATAGCGAAGGCTGAAACAGCACTCTCTCCTCCAGCTTTCAGAAGAGTTAAGCTAGTAGAATTGTCTCACCGTTAAACTTGGCACTGTGACTGTCTAGAATTCTAATTTAGGCGCTGAGAGTTGGCATCAACTTTTCTAGTACTTGTTATATTTTCCCTTAATTTACCCATATTTCATGATGTTCCACAAAAGTGCCTGGCGTTCTACCATTTGAACGAATTTGAGAAACATGGGTCTATACAGAGAGCCAGAGGTTCCAAAACCTTGTCATGACGCATTCAGTGTCCGGAGGGCTCTCTGCCATTGTGGGGGGGGCCCCTAACATCAGGTCTCCAGCTTCGTCACAGCCCTGACGCTGTGACTGGTGATGTGGCTGTCCCTCCCCTAGCAGCCAGGCATTCTGCTCTCCACGGCCAGTCTGGAAAGGCAGGTGTTTTCTCCCTCTTGGTTTCGTTGTTTTAAATGTGAGGACCCATAGGTTTCCTCAGGAGTTGTGTTGGTGCTATTGGGGGTGATGTCCAAGGGGAGCTTAGAGTCCAAGTGACCCTCTGTGTGCAGGGATTTGCCCTCCAGTTCAACCTTGTGATGCCTCGATTTCCCTGAGGCTGGCAGGGGGGTTACCTATGGACTGTTGAGAATGTGTTTGCATGTTTACTTTTGTGGTTTTTAGTACATTGGATGAGCAATGGAAGGACACAGAGATTCTTACCAGCATAAAGCAATCCCCAGCTTGCATTTCTGTACTGTTGCCTGGCATGCCCTGCGCCCTCAAACTAGGGACAGCAAATAGATTTCCTCTGACCTACCAACTCTAGTCAACTGCAGATGATTTTTTGGCGTTCTTCAGGATTTGGAGGCCCTGCTCCCATTCCCAGGAAGGGGGAAAAGTGCTGTAATCGATTAGCAATGTCTGCTTGGGTCTGGGTGGGAAAGGGGCAACAGGGGCAACCACATATTAAACTTTAAGTCACCACATATTCCTTTCCTGGCTTCTAACAGAATTGGTGGCCCAGCACCATGGAGCCACCTTTCAGCGACAACGAGCCCCAGGCACTCTGATCTTTCTATGGCTAAAGTCTTCAGATACTTTGCATCAGCAGCAGCAGTTTAGCCTGGGAGCTCGGAGGTTAGGCCCTGAAGCCAAGCCTGTGTGGGTTCAGATCCTAGCTCCACCTCACCGGTTGTGGGGCTATGGGCAAAGACTTGAGTGATGATCAACCTTAAACTCCCCAAAAACAAGATACTTAGCAATTAAACTATCAAACAGTTTAATCATTCGTGGAAATAAATGAACGCTTCCTCGGATCCCATAATTTAAAAGGCTTGTGCCTCAGCTTCCTCATGTATAAAATGGGAATCGCGATAGTAACTACTTCATATGGCTGCTACGAGGATTACATAGTACACGTAAGGTGCTCCATAAACGGTGGCCATGTCTTCATCATCAGTCCTCTCCCGGTCTGCAGCCTGAACTCTCCCCGCTGGCACTGCCTCGCCCCTTCAAGGCTGCGCGGCTGTGACCAGCGCTGCTCTGCTGGCACTGACCACGTGCCACTGCTGGGCTGCCTTCCCACGGCCCAGATTCCACTTCCCCAGCAAAAACATAACAATCATTCCCTTTCATAGAGTACTTCCTGTACATCAAGCACAGTGCTAAGCCCTGTTTATACACTTTCAACAGCTCTAGGAAGGTCACACTATTGTACCCATTTCATGGATAAGGAGGTGCAGAGAAGAGCTTGCCCCAGGTCACACAGTCAGTAGCAGGATCAGGATTTGAACGCTGGTGTCTCCTTCATAACAGATTTTTCCTCTTGGTCAAGCTTTCCCTTTGGTCAAGACCCCGTCCTTGTTTCTACCTGCCTTTTCTTAGCACGGTGGTTTATTTTAGAGCATCATTATAAAGATATTCCTGGCAGAGCTTTAAAAAAGTGACCAGGGCAAGGGTTCCAAGTACAGTCGTCCCTTGCCACTTCGCACTTCACTCTATCATGGTTTATTCAAATATATTCATTAAAACGTGGATTGAGACAGTGAAAATGATACTGTGCACACTAGGTTATCTGAGTCAATTATACGCTCCTGTTTTACATTAAAATTAAAATTACTGTACATATGGACTGTAGGCCTACATGTTTGAGCACCCTCACAAATCCTTCAATGCCGGGTTCAATCGCTCGACCACTCCTTGTGTGTGGGCAATATATTTTTTCCGAAAAATCGATGTAGTGAAACCAAGGCAATCAGAGTGTGCTGTTCACTGATTGGCTATCCTACCCTCTTCCTATCCTGGCCACTGACTGGCTCAGCCTCATGCAAGTTCCTTTCTCTCATACATGCTTCCACATCACTATGCATCAGAAGCATCTTTGCTCTTGTGTTTGAGATTTCTGAGAAC